GCCAGGAACAGACGAGTCTTAACGAAGTGGGCCGCCTCACCCCGGGACAGAAAAGAACGTTTGATGTCTGACCACGGTTCATAGCCTATACGCTTGTTATCGAGCGTTTCGAGTAACGACGCGTTCGTTACATCATAATTGGATCACACGCTCGGCCCTATCCCCGAGCGGGCAGCTCCTGGGCCGCTCCAATCTTCCACTCAGACAACACTCGACTCAATATGTGACAGCAACGCCACCGGCAATTACCTTTTTAACTTCCAATATATCAGACAGCCGGTCAATTCGCTTAATCGGCGTAGGTGTTGCGCATCGAGGACGAGGCTGCCGTGGCAGCAGGGGGCGGGCACGTTTCGAGAGACGGGAGGAAACGCGGATGCCGGCCACCTGAAACGTCGAACGTGCCCCGAATTAGAATAGCGCGGTACGCCCCCGTGGGGAGGCAGCTCGCGCGAAATGTTGTAGCAGGAATTTTATCGGCGCCCCGAGGGATTTCTTGACTCCGGGAATTGTTTGAACGTAGTGTTTCATTCGGGACGTCTGTGCGCGACGTCGAGACACTTGTGCACTTTCCTCCGCGAATTCTGTTATTGTCGCGGGGCTGGATTTTATAATAGCGTTTCCAACCGTACCTCCGCGTTGTTATCATTTTCTTGGGCGAAAATATAATACAATAACGCTGCAAACAGCTTTCGATCGTTATTCGACGTTAGAACGTACACCGAACACGTTTCGCGATATATTTACGGAGCATCGTTGCTAGTTTTCCACAAATATTATTCCAATATTTAGAGTTTACGCGAAAGCTTGCCAAAACAATGTGTTTCGCAGTCTATTTGATTACCCGTCGATATCATTGTTGGGCGGAATTTAATCCAATTACGCTCGCCGCGATTACTTCTACAAAGTATTTGCACCGCGATTGCATTATGATTACTCTGTAATTTTCGTGCAAGTGCCGCGTAATCATAATTATAAATCACTAAATTGTATAATTACCGTGTAATCATAATACGGTTATAGCGAAATTATTTTGTAGTAACAGGCCTGGCAAACATAATCTGATTAAGTTTTGCCCAACATTGGTCCGTACAAGCATTGGAATAACGACGCCATTGTTTGTTTCGCGTTTCGCTTCCATTTTCATGCGCGGCGGGGATGCGCGTTCGCTCGAACGCACATTTAGTTTTCGAGATCGCGAACTTTACCAACGACCCTTCTATTTGTTTGCAATTTCGGCGCGGCTCGAAGTCGTTCATAAGCCAGCATCATAATAATGGCGGAAACGCAACGTTGCCCCGAAAGAGGGTGCACCATGCACCGCGACCCGTGGACCCATCGAACGTACCAACGGGATAACCTAATCCATCGTATCGATTAGGAAATATAACCCAATTTCAGCTAACTGATTTACTCGCGCAAACGGATTAACCCGGCTTGAAGAGGGGCCGCGGCGTTAACGCGCCGAATTGCTGCTTACTCCGTTCTTCCGTAGTGCTCCTCCGCTCCTTGTCCCTCTCTCTCTCAGGCTCTCTCTCTCCTTTCTGTCGTCGTTCATCTTGTTTTCAGCTACTCCCCTCGGTTCATTTGTCCGTTACGTGCAATCAGGAATCCGGTTGTACGGAGTGAAACACGGTGTACAGCTGTCTGAAGGTTCTTAACCTAAGCTGTATTTATTTGTCTCCGTCGGAGAAAATTCGCCGCGTCTCCCGCGTTCGCAATCTCATTAAAGCTTTATCCACGACGCCCGGGAGTTGATTAGTGCTGCGCGTAACGGAATTGCGTCCCCGACGACAATTAAACGTTCGAGGAATCGTGGCGCGACAAGGGCGTTTCGATCGACCCCCGCAACGCGTCGTCCGACCAACAAAATCGTAGAGCTCTTTCCACGAAAGGCCTTTCCGGTCTCGAGATCCCAAGAATTAGGTGGTTTCGAGCAGTTACTCGCACAGAAACTATGGTATACGTAATTTTCATTAACCCTATGCCGCGCTAAAGCCTCGCCTCATCTATTAAATCCTAATCTCGACGCCTTAGTGAGGATTAATGGAAACTTTAGTACTATATTAATCATTCATGGACCGCGTAATCCGTTTCCAACGAAATTATTAATAACCTCCGGTTTTATAAAACTTATAGACACTAAATTCTACCATCCCATGCAGCGCAACATTCTTGACAGGCAAGCTAGTTTAGTTCACGAAAATAACTGCTTTAAATATTTAAATAAGGGAGGGGCAGACGGCTCAAACATCGAGTAAGATGTCACTGGCCGTCGTCCAATTTTTAAGACCCCCATTATTTCGCCATTAAAGTTCTTTCGTTGGGTCGTTTTTGCCGGGCGACGGGGTCCGCCGATACTTTTAGTAAATTAATTTTCTGCCGCCGTCTGTTCTCAACTTAATGATCCCAAAGAAAAAGCAATATTTATCGCGCCGGTATTCCTTTCCTCGTTTCTTCTCTCGCTCGGCGGGGCTAAGCAACGACGCCCGGGACTTCTGCCAGCGATATTTTCTTTTTTCCCCTGTCCTCCGCCCCCCTTTCAACCTGCCCTCCTTCAAGCCCCCTCCCTCATCTCTCTTCGTCGTCGTTCGTTCGTTCCCTTTTTTTTTTCTCTCGTCTCTTTGCGTCGTGTCTGATTGCTTCCTGCCCGAGGAAATATGAGCGGACGTTTATAGGATCGCGAAACGCCGAGAGCGAGCGCGATTATTTATGGTATTTGTCGAGCGTTGCTAAATAACTTACACGTTACGCGAGCAAGGTGAGACATCTTGATGATCCCCGCGCCAGAGAAACACGAGGAATCCTCTGATCTGCAAAATTGAGGAAAATATTTTTTTCTTTCTCTCTATACACAACAAGAAATCATTTTCTCGGGCTGTGACGACAAAAATATTATTTGCGGTCCGCCCTAGATTCGCTAGAAGATTCTTCAGCGAAATTATTTTTAAGAAATTCTACTTCGGATACTACCGAACTTAGCAGCGAGAAATAGCAAGAACTTTTCTATTTAAAATCAAGAGAATCCGCTAAAATGGATACTCTTTATTTGATTTATCGTTCGTGTATCCCTGCAGTGCAATTGCACGAGTTTTAAACGGTTTGAGAATGATTTTATGTAGCAGCAATTCCTCTCCAATCGAACGTTTTGATCGATGACCCGGTAGCCATACATTCTTCTCAACTTTCATCTTCAATTTTCATCCGCTGTCTCTTTTCCTGATTTACAGGTTAACTATCGAGTTCCTCGGGAAGATGACATTAGCTCTTGATGATAGCCAGTTGTCATTAATATTATTTTTATTTCGCCAGACAGCCCGTAACATCAGATCCTAAACATTAAATCGTCCTGGGAAACGCCTCGAATTAATGAAGCTTCGACTCGAGTAGAACTCGAATTAAGCGAATCGCCTGGTACTCGAATCGCCCCCTATTTCTCACGTCCCTCGTTTTCTCCCCCAGCCGGGAACAGGGAAAGAAAACTACACTCGGGGCCACCAAAATTTACAAAAGCAACTTGTTCCGTTTCCCCCTCGACGGGGCTCGGTCGGATCGGCGTTCGCGTTTTCCCTCGATTAAAAAGGTGGGCCTCTCCACCCCAATTTGCGCGGAGCCGTTTCCAGGCCGCGTAATACCTTCGTTGGTCCAACACCTGCCCCGCCAGTCTGCCGGAATCTTAAGCGGAAAATTCAATATTGGCGCACGAGTATTGTCGAGCATTCGCGCTCTACGAATCCTCCCCCCTCGTCCCATCTGCCAGTACCGATCCCCGCGTTATTCCAGCGCGGGATTTTCCATTCACAGAGCCCACGTTCATCGAATAGTATTTCATAGACCTCTTGCAAAAATCACTGCATTAACACGTTGACTGCCAGTCGAAAATCCTAAAATTCTCAACGAGACCAAAACTTTGATTCTAGACAATTGTAAATTACACAACTTAAAAGTTGTCGTAGTTAAAACTTACGAAGCCTATTACAATTTATTTTCTTTAATATTTTAACTTGAGAATTAATTGTTTTAGTTTCGCTGTTAAAAGTTCTGTCGCCCACATATGGGTCACGTGGCATTCAAAGTGTTTCAAATTTCAAGTTTCCACTTGTTCTCGATGAAATGTTTACGTCTACGATGAAAATGTTTGCCCATATTTGCCGAGCAAATGAAAATTTGCATTTGGAAAGGAGTTTCGCCCCTGTCTATAGTCGGAGGCGTCGCGTTTGATCCCTGTTCGGGGCCCCCCCCCTTTTCTGGATCGCTCTCGATGCACAGGGGATGAAGATAAATATCGCTCACGATGAAAATAAAATCCTTGACGTAGGTCCGACAGGGCGAGGCTTTAACCTGTCACCCGCGGCGAGAGCTCCTGGCCTCTCCGAAAGCGCGTCGACTCGTTCGATACACGCGCGACCGCTTTCCGGGAGGTTAATGGGAGCGATTTTTACGCGCTATCTCGTCGTCGCCGTCCGCTGAACGTGCTAGCGCCTCTTCTATATATATTTTTTTTTTTACCTCTCCCCCCCCCTCACCACTTTTCCGGAACGTCCCGTTTTTCCTTCTCGTTTCCCGCGATTTCGGCGGATACAACGGTTGTTTTGTTCTCGGAGTGTACTCGTGAATGCAGCGCGCTTCTAGGCTGAATGGAGCTGTCAGCTAGAGGGGTTGGACCGCGAATAAAGGAATTAGATTCGAAAGGGAAATTTCGCCGCTGACTTTTTCGAGCAGCTCGGTAAGAATTGAAAGGGCAACTTGTATTTCGATTGCTGGCGTGCGGGATCTCTGGCTGTGCGCTGCAGAATGTGTAATTCCACTTGCATGAATTGTATTTTATTTGGAATTACGATCGGAGTGTATTTACAGAGCAACGCGTTTTATAACCTGGCAATTAGTTACACCCGGTTGGAGAATTGTCGGGGATGTTTGGTGGGGGGGCGGCAATCATATTGTGAGTAATTGAACCTGCAGAGAAAAGATATTAATCATCGTTTCGTTTCCTGTTACAGACTTCCTCCACCCCAACAGCAGGTGACAGTCGGGTCTCTGGGTGGTGGTTTAGGAGCCGGGGCTGGAAATGGTGGCACGGGGACGGTGGGTGCTCAAGGTCAAGCCATGGTAGTGCCAGGATTTCCACTCCGCGGAGCGACGGTGCCGCATTATTCGCCGTATTCGCCGTCACGTTTTCACATCGACAAACGTTGCCAGCACAGATGCTCCTGGAAATGTTTCTCGATCGCCCTGATCCTCCTGGTTGTTGCGCTGACAGCGATGCTGGCTTACTTCGCCAGTAAGTAAACACGACATAATGCGGAGTCTTAATAGACCGAACCAGAGGGGACAAAATGCCCCTGCCGTTCGCTAAAAACGAAGAGAGACCTTCTTCGGTTTTTCTTTCGCGTTCCATCCGTATTGCACCCCGCGAGTTCGGTAAACGAGTAATTTCGTTTTGTTTCGTTAACAATACGAACTCAACGCGGCTTAGTTCGGGTCTAAATGGGTCTGCAATTAAACGGTGTAAATTGAATAACTTCAAGAACGTGGAAACGACATTCTTGCGTAATTTGTTAGGGGGCGATGATTGTTGAAACCAGAACCGTCGTCGGGAGCCGGACAAAAGTTGCCGACAGTCTGTTCTAATTATTTTTAACTAAACTTTATTAAGAGAAGAATTGCACGGTGACAAAAAAATACAGAAACAAAACAGAATTGCGCGAACAAATAATTGCGTTCGTTTGATCGAGAATTATTCGACGAACCAAAGGACTAGATATAATAATAATTGTAACACTCGGCCGATTATAGAACAGGGGCAATTGTCGATTGGACAAGGCGTTTAGAAAATAGAGTTAATTCGTCCATTATGTACGAGTAGTTCCGTCGATCTCCGGTTTTCAATGAACAACTCTTATTTACCGGCGTCGTTGTACCGTAATTTATCGCTATTCGGGCCCCGGGAAATCCTTCTACCCGTTAATCTGCAATTTACGGTACAATAACTCATTATTAACTTGCAGATTCGGTTAGGCGGTGCGATTCTCGTTGCGGCCGTCGAAATTCACCGGAACTTTGATTTGCCTAACTTGCGATACAGTGTCTATCTACAAATAGAAGCTCCGGGGCAGGGTTATCGCATTAATTTGTTCGCAGGATTTTGTAAATTCAAATCGTACCGCGCTGGACCGTTTGCACGAATGAAACTTGCCTTCGCCGTGTATTCCGCTCGTTCTATCGTCATAATTGCGTTCAGAAACGATAGCTCGTTTACCGTTCGTACGAGAACAAAGAAATTGATAACTGAAACGTGAAATCTTTATATTCTTATTATAAATAGTTACTGGAACTAGAAGATATTTGCCTTGAAACATTTAATTAATTTCCACAACTTGCAAGTTTCATCGTTCGTTTCAATCGAGAACGTTTCCACGTTCACATTCGCATACAGTATTCACATACTGCAGAAGAGAATGGGAAGACCGTAACTTTAGGATTAAATGTCTCATAAACTATTAACCATTTGCCCCCCCAAAACTGGCTGGCATTAATTTTGATTTGCCATGGTCTATCATTGCGCGACAGCTCATAAAAAAATCACGCTTCGGTATCCATCTCTTAAAATTTGATTTTGCGTATAACATTTAAATACAAATTTCATTTTGACATTTATACCGAAATATACGCCGTGAAAAGTCTATAAAAAGAACCTATCAAACGGCTATTATTCTTCGCGCAATATCATGAAAAAGTCGTAACGTTTTAAAATCTTCGAACATCATCGTAAAATCTCGAGGGGATAACTTCGAGATCTCGAGCTTTTAGGAAACGCAATTACCGACAGAGGTCGATTTTTCTTCCAAACAAGCCAGGAATCCGGGTCTTAATCGCTTGAAACTCCATCCATCCCCCGGCTCGAGATTTCGATACTCATTTCTGTCGCGTCCTCCTCGTGTTCGATTCAAAGAGAACGGGAACTCTATTATCGCGAAGAAAGGAAGAGGGAACGCAATTTTACCAACATACCCTGCACTTCACCGGTACAGTACCAACGTCGAGATCCCTGTTCGAGGTTAATGCCCATCGCGGAATAGAGGGATCTTCCTCGAATCGACCTTGTAAGCTCCGAAGATCCAAAATTTATTGCCAGTAAAACCTCTCCTTCGAATCGTCTATGTGTTTCAACGTCGTAGCTAGGCTGCCAGACATCTTATTAGCGGACAGAGGCTTCCAATCGATTCGCCCCAACTCACCCCATGCTTCCTTGCCTCTGCCTCTTTGGCCCCACGATTTTTACAACGATACGTCTCGTTAATTTCTAATCTATTGTCGTATAATACACTCAGTGTATATAATCTGAAATACACTCTGTATCTCCTGTGAACGGTTTAAATGTTTGTTCGAAAGGAATCAGTTCCTCCCAGAGGAGGGTCAGCCATCATCGGACGTTACGAAGATGGCGGTTCGTGGACGATAAGCGAATTATTCAGGTAGTGGGCGATCGTCCCAATAAATTCTTGGCAACCCCATCGAAACGCTTCCTCGACATCGACCAGCAATATTTTTCACCTTTCCCCTAAACCGGACGTAGCCAACCGTGGCTAAATGAACCGTTGCGCCAGTAATGTTACGACGTGGCTGCGCTTCCTATCCAAGATCCGGACTTCCGTAGTTAAACGGTATTTAATTTGGCGGTGCACCGGCCCGCGGGAGCATCTATGTCAACCGACTGGTCCCCTTCCTGGTATTTACCCTCGTTCCACGGCTTAGGAGCGCGTCCTCGTCGCTGGATGTATTTCGCGGGTCGACGATTTTCACTGGAATTTTCACGTCAGAGGGGGAGGGGAAAAAAGGGGAGAAGGAACGCGAGACGCTGCGGTCTTTTCGTCGTCGGTCGTATTTCGTGGCTCGACGGTTTTGATGAAAATTTGATGTCGATGGGAAAAGAGAACAGGAGACGGGCGCTCGCCGAGCGAAAACTTGACGGTTCCCAATGAAATTTACTCTTACGGAATTTCTTCGACGATGTGGAAAATATAAATAAATCGCTGACCGTTTAAATATACGAGATAACACGAGGTGGTTTTCCTTTCGATGGTGGCTGCTTTATTCTCTCCGGCCCGTCGTAAATGAGTAAAACATTTGAAAACGTTAATGGAGTTTCGGTGCACGTGACTGGAACCCTCCTCGAGCGTCTAGACAGCGAGACGGTTAACCGTTCCAGGGCGTCGAAAAAGACACGAGAGAGTTCAAAGAGTACGGGGAAAGTAGGAAGATTCCCTGGACTGGCTTAGCCTGTCCCGTGACACGAAAATTGCATCTCTGGCGAGGTACCAGTCGCAAAACCGAGCCAGGGACCGATTAGAGAAATTAACGCTCCCTCGTTATCAGCGTGAAACAGTAGCCCCGAGGGCGCGGGGGCCTGGCGGGGAACGGGGCAACGGGCTTGAAATTGTGTCTTTGGATTCAGCCCCGAGTCGACAAATCCCCGAACCCAAACGGCGGTCAAGGTCTCCGACGCAGTAGCATTACGGTTTATCTTTTCAAGGCGGAGGGAATAAAGGGGATTCGACGGGAAAGGAGGGTGGCTCGTTGGGTGGCAGGGGCGCACATTGTCCTGCGAATATTTATACTGGGTGATTCTTGTAATCGGTACGTTTTTATCCAAAGTCTCAGCCTTGGCAAGGGTTGGCAGGAATTTCAAGAAAAAGTACTTTGAACAATGTTAACAATAGATGATGAGAAGGATGATGCTCCATTTTATATATTTTCATAAAATATTTTTAGTTGGACAACCGCGAGAAAAAAGCTAGTTAGAAATATATCTCCATGCTTTGTAGACGCGTCGGTCACTTTATGAGAATCACCCTGTATATATAACATTCTCGACCCTCCCTCGCTGAACTGTCCCTCGGATCCAGCGTCTGCATTCTTCTTCCTCTTCGTCGTCTCTCGTCCCGCGCCACTCTTTCGCGTTTGAAAAGCGGAAGGAAGAAAAGAGGAGGAGATTGCAAAGCCGGATCGGCCTCGGGGAGACCTCGCCAGCTGTTATTTCTGCATTCCGGTAAATCGAGTCGGGAATCCAATCTGCCTGTTTGCTACTGCATCCAAACTACCCTCTTCCACACCCACGCGCCACCAACCCCCTCCTGCTCTTCGTCTGTCTTTCCGTCGTCGATTCAACCCTCGTCCACGATGATCGACGTCGGTGAAGGCGTTGAAACCACTCGGGCCCCAAAACAAAACGGAATTTCGGGCCCTATCCGATGCATTCGACATCCAGAAATTGGTTACGAACGATCGTTGATTCAAATTAAATACTCACATTTATAATTTCGTATATACGATACAATATTCGTTCCTATTTCGGCAAATGATTAATTTCTCTTAATTAATACGGGAGTAAAAACATTGGGAACCGAATATCATAAGCTCAAAGGGAATAAAATTGAAAAATCCGCTTCTGGGCTGAGCCCGTTGCCTCCCGCGGTCATTGGATTATTGAAACACGGCTGATTTCATTTTTCGGTTCGAATAAATGGAATTAATTAAAATATAATACCAAGTACAAAAAGTAAAACAATTTTTGGCGATTCATCGCATCGATTAGCTTCGGATAATATAGGTAGAAGAAAGAGCTACCAGCCGCCTACGTTTTATTCGTTGTTCGGAATTTGTATCTAATAATCTTACCCGTCTCTGCTCTCACTTATCCGAACCATAAAGGAATCCCCACGAGACCCACCCGATTCTAGTTGGTGTATAAGGAATTTTCCCTGGGGTCATTCTTACTGGCAGAGTCTAGTACAATTCCCCTAGGGGCCAGACCCTTGTATATGAATAACATTGATTGTAGTACTGCGTGGCAACGCTTGCAGTATCGAGACTGGAGTCTATAACCTCGTGATCCGAGGATCACGACCATAGTTTCTACTCCCTGCAGACGCCATCTTTAGAAGGTTTTAAACTTAAAACAATCAATTCCATCCTTTTCTTCTCGATGGTAGGCTCGTAAAAATTTTCATAATTTGAAACGAGTAGTGATAGGATTTCGTAAACAGTGTAAAAATATAATCCTTAGTTTGACGCCTGTGGGTGGTGTTATTCGCCGCCTGTTTCCAGCAGAGGGATACGCGTGCGCTAGAGCCGTCGTTGCTTTTGGGTAATTTGATTTATGCGGACGCTCGGTCGCGTCCACCGCTCGAAATCTTTTCCGGATTCCGGATTCCAGCTTCGTCTCCGGGGCGTTCGTTCAACCATCCCTACCTCCCCCTCTCTATGTAATTTCCGAGAGCTAGAGCAACAAAAGGCTCCTCCTACAGCCTGGATCGATCGAACGAACAGGTTCGCTCTAGACACGCGGCTGTTTTTCGGCGCTAGTTTCAACTCTTTGCGGTCGCCGGACGAGCTGGACTCGCCAAAACAATTTCAGCGCTTTGGTCGTTAGGCTAACCATACTCGACGGACTCGAAGGTTGCATTCTGGTTGCTATAGCACGTGTAGCGTGTCTCTTAGTGTACTTTTAGTACTAATTTCTGGGCGAGAAACGTATTCACTGTCCGGGGGCCTCGTTGGCGTATCAAATAGCACGGCGATGTGACCCGTATTCGGGCCACGGACAGTGGTCGTGGCTGTCTTTCGATTAAGTCGGTTGATCGAAGTTCTACGTACTTGTCGTTGTTTCCGTGTCGTCGATCGACCGTTAACGGGTGTCCCACATGTTGGGGCATCGCTCACCGCGGGATAAATATCGGCATCGTTACCCGTCCGTGTACAGAACTATTTGTCGATCCGGGCCCAGAGCTGGTCGAACGGTCGCTATTAATAATCGCGGATAGATTTTTGCGCCACGCGCGGTTCTTCCCACGACTCCTCGGGGAGGAAGCGGATCGCGGCGTTCTGGAAACGCGGTTTCCCGCTGAACGTATTGCTGCCGGTTCCCGTCATTTTTCTGCCGTCTAAACGCGCGAGTTTCGATTCCTCTTCGCCGCTGAAGTTATCGTTGCGGCGATACGCGAATCCCCACGGCGAAACGTAGATCCTTCGCGACACTCCACGCTCGTAACTTGATCCTCGATCTCGAAGCAAGAAGCTTCTATTATCATCGTCCGTACAAGCTAAATCGTCGCGCAGAGAAAATAATCGTATTCGAATGCAAATAGACATCGCCTGGCAAGATTTTCAATGCCACGGAAACCCCGTAGAAAGGAAACGATAGACCGATCGATAGTAAACATTTCATTATAACACGAGGAAAGAAAGCGGAAGTATAACCGAAGAGTGGGAGGGCGTATAATCCACCGATAATCCGGGAATCATTCTCGGGAATGAATCGTTCTATCGATCCGAGGGAATATAATTGAAAAAGTTGTTCCTTTGCTCTCGTCGAACGAGGCCCTGTCTGTCGTTCCCAGCCGACTTCGCCTTTTCCCTATCTCGAATCAAAGGGTGAATCAAGGCGTTGGAACAGGGACCGTACACCCCCCGTTTCAAACTCCGACGATATTAGCGATTACAGTCTCGTCGTACGCCAGGGAATGAATTTTATCAGACCTCTATCTTTGAGTTAAATATATTTTTTTTTTGTCTCGAAGGCGATGAAATTTCAGTAGCTCTCCGTCCACGTTCTGCACGCGGTAACGAATTCGGAATTCGTGAACGACTCGGTTTTATCCACGATGGCGGCATGCACGCGGAAGATGGCGATATGACACGTTAGAGAGACACTCCGGGCGGCGATGGTGTCGCGAAACGAGAACGAAAACGACGCGACGACGCGACGGTTGCTTCCGATGCTAGGCGAAATAAGGTCATTCACAGTTCACTGCAACTCAATTTCAACGATAGTTACATAACGTCGGTGCCCGGGGGGAGGTGGGAATGCTTCTTTCCCAGTTATTTCGCAATGTCTGCGGCCCGAGTCGATTCCTCGTCGCGCGAAAGCTCGCATGCGTCGACCGTTCCGGCGCGAGGACGGTAATTTGTCCGTCACGGTTGACGCGCGAAATCAAAGGGACGATGCCCGTAATTGTACGCGCTGTCCATTCTTGCCTGCGAGTCGTTTCCTTTGGTAAAATGCAACCGCGGTGACGGGAATGGATGAGCTTGATGAGCTTGACAGGGAAAACGTTGGTAAAGAGCGATGGGTTCTGTTCCGAACGCGCCCCGGGGTCGAAGCAAAAGGGACAGCGACGTTCCGAGTTTTGGTAGTCGGAAGTCGAAAACGGAGTATTCAAACTCGGATGCAATGTTTAATACTTAACTGCCAGCTTCGAAGTTCGTGTATCCGGTTATAAATTGTTTCGCGTATCCAGATATAAATCGTTTCGAAGATCGGGGATACAAATTGTTTCATATATCCGACGCGGTGTACGCCGTCGTCGGCCGTCCGATGTAAAACGTCAAATATCTAGTTTCGCATCGGTCACGAAATTCTAAAATCCGTTACGAAATATAGCACTTGCCCGGCCGGGGGATCCATCAGTATGACCCAGAAAAGAAAGCATACGAATTTCATATTACGATTTTCCATTTCTGCCGGTGATATCGACTTTCGCGATTGGACGGTTCGACCGCGTCCCGCGGACGACAAACATAGCGAACGCAATAAAGTGGACGTTATAAATCAAAAGGTACGAAACGCGCGGGGGTGCAGGCGAGAGAAGAACCAACAAAAGAGAAATGAACATGAAATATTGATGACCGGGGCATGATTCTCTATTTGTCAGATCGTTCTAGCGGCGGTAATGCGCGAATTCAATTAGCTGGCGCGAAAGCACCGGCGCGTTGATAAGCCAAGAGGTCGTTAGGCACGTTGTATTGCGAACGTTCGCTTTTAAAAAACTCTCGTTAACCCGCATAATTAATTCGCGGGCGGACGCGGCCACCGGGACAGATAATTAATTTAGCCGCGATAACCCCGCCGGCCGGATAAGGATTTTATTGTGGAATTCAGCGCTGTATTTAAATTCGACGAACCTCGCACTTATTGTCCGGAAGGCATTAATATAAATGAACCGTGGGTGAAGAACTCGCGAAAAGTGTGAGCGCTGGCGTTAACGTAATTGGGACGTCGGGCCGCTGGAAAAGTTGTATAAATTACCTTCGATAATTTATTACAGTTCGCCTTGCACGCCTTATTCCGCGTAAATTAATTGCTCGTTTACGGGGATGGTTAATTTTTAATAATTCCCAAAGTGGGCTGTAGACGCTGGAGTTTTTACGGAGAGAGGGAAGAGCTGTAACCTTATTGTCCATTTCTATTATGGCGAACCAATTTTCAACAATTCCGTTCCGTCCGCGTAATACTTGCACTTACAGACGTCTGTAAAATAGTGCGTGGAGCATATTTATTTGCAGGCGCGTATAAATAACTCTCGTAAATTGCCCCATTAACGTCGCGTTGCATGTAAATAACATTGGTTTCCGAAACCACACTCGCAAAATTGCGTCATTACACGGTATGATAGCTTGTTTCGCAGCTGATACGTTGGCCCCGTAATGAAACTCGTGCGTTACGGTTCGTTCGACCGTGTTTCGCGATAAAAATTATATACGAAGCACGTACGAGAGCCTTTTATAGCGAAGATCACGTTTCGAGTATATTCGAAAGCGATTTATAACGAAATTCGTGGGGAAATTATGCGCCAGGTATTTGCGAGAGAATTTTATAATAAAAATCGTACGTGGAGAACGCGTATTAAAAACGGTTTATCGTTGAAATTTCGTGCGCGAGCGTGTGTGTGCGCTAGCGTTGGTTTATAACAAAAAGTCAGCTAGGAGAACTAGAGTCGAGACTTTTATCGACATTTCCATCGTTTACCATTTTCACCTCTCAATTCTAGAATTATTCCGAACATCGATTGCTGTTCACCAGTGATATATCAAGAAAGTGGGGTAAAAATGAACATGAAATATCGATGACCGGTGTTGCAATAACCTGCATGTCACATGCCCACTTAATCTTGGATGAACGATGAGCGTTCGGTGTATATATCGTACTACGTTAGCTGTAGACGTTCGTGTATATCATTCGTGTAGCCTTATAGTTATTGCATAGTCTGTTTTTCCATCGAATACACCGGCATTTGCTTTCTCCGATCGACAGAAGTTCTTTGTCCTGAATATGCATCTCGTCAAATAAAAACTAGAAAATACAATTTTATCAAAAAACGACCCAAGGATCGACGCTGGACCAACGAATTACGCGAGCAAACACCGTTCGCTCGGGCGATTTACAACCGAAAGCTAGTTTCCTATAAAATGTTATCGCGTGCCAAAATGGCCACGCGTGCCATTCATTGCAAAACGCTGGTTCAGCTCGTATCACAGTCAGAGTCCACCTACTCTCGAGCAACGAACAATTACCGCCCCCGCGATGGTCGTATATTAAATGCAGAAACAGCGGTACAGCCTTTATCATTCGAATGTCTTTCTTGAAAACTTACAGGCGATGCCCCGGCGTCGTAGAGACCTAGCCGTCCCGACGTAATTCGAAAGCGATTGTTCGAATTTATGAACCCATTACGGTGCTTCGGGACGTTCGACTAAAGCCCCGTGTCTGATTCCTGGCGCAATAAAAGAGTCTCGTAACGGTGCTATTTTGTCTCGAGTGGCGGCCACGTACATTAAGAATATAACTAGTTGATTGCGTGCGTTGCTCTGACACGGTCAACGCATACGTACATAAAATCCCTGGCTCTGGTCTCGATCGTAAACTTGCTATAACGTAACGTCGAGGTGAAACGAATCTTGTATGCCTGGCGCTAATTGCTATACTTAGTGGCGTTCATGATCGGTCTATATAATTGTACGAAGAAGGAATCGGTGAATCGAGGCAACAGGGGAACGCGTTAAAGTGGGAATTCTGTTTTCTTTCCAGCAGTGAGCTCCATGCGGCCAATAGACAGCTCGAAATGCGTGGTAGTCCAAGATGTCAAGGCTGTCACTCACGAGAACGCGCACGTTCACGACCCGATATCAACGCAAATACCCACCGAAGGTAAATATCGAGCAGTATCAATTTGCATCCACTCTGCATGATGTAAATACTCCCGCGCACGACGTCTCACGGTAATTGCTTTTGGGTGGCGTCTGCCACGTTCGAATGGCTTCCCCTCGGTCTGATATCGGGCGTCGCCGTACATACCGATACAATGGCTGCACCGAGAATAATATCGACCCAGAAACGCGCGCGTTCGAAGGGTTAGTTTCGCCGAAATATTTCACGCGCGAGCGAGACAATCGTGAAAAATTAATACACGCGTTCTTTGGGCTGTTCGCGGGATACAATGGGGGGCGGGAAACTTGTCCCGATAATAGCAGACTGCGTCTCCCATTGTCGCGAAATCTGTTCCGTAACCGTCGCGCAGACGTCTTTCCCGCTTCTTGGTGCTTCTTGCTTGGAAGTCTATACAATAGAAGTCACGAGATCTTGTCCTAGCAGGGCTAGCGATCGGTAGAAGTCGGGATAGATTTTGGAAACATAGATGCACGAGGTGTTCCTATCACGCAGAGTCATTGCCGACGAGCACCGCGGAGCACTCGAGCGCGTCGGACAGCGCCGGGGATCAGCAGAGCGATCCCCAAATCCAGCAGTCTGCGCAACAATGGCCGGCGGTGCTCGAGCTCCAGGCGTACAACGTGGCCCACTCGGCCGTCATACCGCCGTACAACTTCTGGAACACGGAATTCCGGAACAAGCAGCCGGCGTTCATCAGGCTGAACCTGACTCTGCCGTGGGGCGCGAACTTCGCGGTCTACGGTAGACGGAACGTCGCGCCCAGCGTCACGCAGTACGACTTCGTGGAGTTCGTCAAGGGTGGTCGCGTGGACCACAGGCTGAAACGGGACACCGCCTCCGAGGCGGTCAGTTTCATGAAATCCGGCGGCCAGGACGGTCGTACCAACCATCGCAACGTCCGTTCTGTACCGTTGGACAGACACGTACTGATCAAAAGGACCATCGTCGAGCCCATGATGGTCAACGTCAGTCTGCTCCAGTACCTCGACACCGGTCGCTGGTTCCTCTCCGTCTACAACGACGAGCTGCAGCCGTACAAGGTCACCCTGGTCGTCACAGAAGCCGAAGGAGTCTCCACTACTTGCCCCAACGACTGTTCCGGACGGGGATCCTGTTATCTCGGAAAGTGCGACTGCATCGACGGGTATCAGGTGAGGAAACCATTAGAAACTCTATCGAGCCTTTGAAAAAATTCCTGATCGATTATTCCTCGTGTAACCATAATCGATATCACGAGTAATAATGCCCCTGTGGGGTCGACTAGCGTCGTAAGGGGTGTGGAAGGTTTAGGACGCAAATTATGCTCGATCGATTCACAGTCGTAAAACTTTAAGTCGATGTTTTCCAAAGTAGGGGATTTGACCCTTAATGGAGCGTCATGCAATCCAGGGAGGGTCGCGAGAGAACATTGTGAACGTAGGAAAGCGTAGATAGCTTAAACGTGTAATATGGGTGCAAAAAATTTGATGGGGTTGTTGAAAATTATATTTAGGAAACGTTGAGTTGTCGCTAATGTGATTTAGATTATGGAGAGGCTACTAAAAATTTCAGGGAGCCGATTGCAGCAAGAGCGTGTGCCCCGTGCTGTGCTCATCGCACGGACAGTATGGCGGCGGTATGTGCCATTGCGAAGACGGCTGGAAAGGTGCCGAATGCGACATACCATTAGGCGATTGCCAAGTTCCTGATTGCAATCAACACGGACAGTGCGTTAGGGGATCCTGTGTGTGTAATCCTGGTAGGAAGGGCGACTTCTGCGACGAACGTAAGTTAATAACTTATCTCTTACTACTGCGTCGTTTAATCCTGCCCCTCTTAAATCATTTTTAATTTATGGTCAGTAGAAATTGCTGAAACTTCTTTGGGTGCATAGAGTCAAAGTAAATGTGAAAATAAACATAGAAGACAGCGTAAATTATAGCAGCTGGTATAGTCATTAGATAGGGGATGAAACGCCCTTTAAAATGAGCGTTTGTACGAGTCGATAGCTTTATTAGTTCCGGAGATATAGCGATTTTAATTTCAAGTCGACGCGGTGGCTAGTTCCGGAGATGTAAGAGTCAGAAGTGTTTGTTTACATCGCGAGATCAATGGCTGCACGTGATCGTAGTAAATAGTAAACGTGACTCATTCACTCGGTCAGTGGGTCAACGTGTGACAAGGAGGTACGATGCGACGCGTCAGACGGAGACAGCGATAGTCGAATTAAGAAAAATTACCTTTTACATAAATTACGATATCTCCGAAACGGGAAGTCCGATCGTCAAAAACCAAAAACCATTTTAAAGAGGAAGGTTTGCCGCTTCTAACAATGCCTCAAGAATGACTAAAACACTAATAGTTTGTGAACTGCAGGCGTCTAAAGTTTAACTATTTTTAATACGCGTTAATAGCCTTTTCTAAGGCGGAGAACGGAATTTAAAAAATTACCTTTCACATAAATTGCGATATCTCGAAAACGGTAAGTCGGATCGCCAAAAACCAAAAACCATTTTAAAGAGGAAGCTTCACCGCTTTTAACAATGCCTTAATAATTAATATAACACTAGTAGTTTTGAAACTGCACGCGTCTAAAGTTTTACTATTTTTAATACGCGTTGTTAGACTGTTCTAAGACAGTGGAAGCTAAAGATCATCTCTTTTCGTCTTTGCTAGACATGTATATGTATTTCCTATTTACATCGGAAGCTAACCGGAGTTCATTTCCGTGTCGGATGTTGTTTCTTCATATTTGTCAGCGCTCCATTAATTTCCACCATAATTCGAGCGTACGTACGTCCTGGTAGCACCCTCCCTCTCCCTCCTCAGCCAGTGAGATTCAAGATATTAGCGATGCGCGGTCCCTACTGACAGGGAACACAGCCGGACTGTGCCCGACCCTATAATTAATGCACGCACAGTCCCCTTAATTTGCATACGGGTCAAACTATGCCACGATTCGATGATCAGTTTCGCGGTTGTTCGAATTTTCCAAGAAGGACCAACGATGGTTTGGATCAACATCAGAAGTTCACCGCTGCCCCAACCACAGTATCGTCGCAGAAAAATTACGTCTGGAACGAATGGCAAAATTATTCGCGGTGAACGCACGACCCTTTGTCTCTGACATCCTCACGATTCCCTCGTAGCGCGTTCTACCCTTTCATTTTTCTGAGAACAAGATGACGCGTTGGATCGTTTAACGCCGGGGGTTGACAAAGAGAAGCTCTAGATATGCAGTACTGTTTCGGTTAACTAGTATCGATCTTTAAAACAGCTCGAATTCATTTCGCTCCGAGTAAAAATATTACAGAAATTCCGATCGCGGATCGATGGAACTCGCGTCTCCGCGGTTCTAATAAAAACCAGGGAATCGGTGATCCGCCCCCCGTTCGATGAACGCGACGCATACGTAACGGGGCGAAGAATCCAGGAGGAATTTCCCTCATCTCGGGCGAACGAACGTCGCAGCCTGTATACACATAACCGGTCCCGCGCGGTACGACGCGGATGGCACCACGCGACGCGTCGCCGGGACGCTTTGGAATTAAGTTTCATAATTTCCCCGGGGCAGCTGGGATCCGCGGGAGTAATGCAATTGTTCCGATGCCATAATTTAAAAAGTTGGCCCATTCGTCGGCGCCCAGGGCGCAATCACCGCCGCCCGCCCACCCTAGACTGCCTCCTTCCGAGACGCCTTGAAAACAACGCTAAAAGATCTGCTGTCCCCCACGATTCGATAGCTCTATGGGGCTCTCGCGAACGAGAAACGATCTCGTGATTCGAACGAGATTATTTACCAAATTGCTGGATGAATAGTTTTGTCGGACTCGTTGTATCACGGAAGCATTAACTATACTATCGATCTTGTCGATCACCTGTCACGTGTATCAGCATTAGGAAACGTCTATAAACAACTTGGGTGTCCGAATTGCGGAACGTGTTATCAACTGTCTGTGTATCTCGATTGGTTTGATCGCCGCACTATCTCAAAAGCATTAACCATACGGTCGATCTTGTCAATCATCTGCCACGTGTGCCGATAGTAGCCTCTATGAGCAATCTCCTGGCTGGTCGGTAATTGCGATCGTACTTGTCCACCTGACAAAGATAATTCCTTATTTTTCAGCCGATTGCCCGGACCCTAACTGCAGCGGCCACGGCGCTTGCGTTTCCGGTAAATGCTACTGCAAAGCTGGCTGGCAGGGGGATAGGTGCAACCAGGTCGACCAGCAGGTATACCAATGTTTGCCCCGTTGCTCCGATCACGGCACGTACGACCTGGAGTCCGCGACCTGTGTCTGCGAGGGACATTGGACCGGCGTGGATTGCTCGCAGCCCAGCTGCGGCCTCAATTGCGGACCTCATGGAACATGCGAACAGGGTCTCTGCAAGTCAGTACACGTTATATATACCTACATACATCCTCGACCGTCTTTTGTATCGCCGTCCTTTATGGGTCCTCCGTGGGCGTTCCGACCGGGAATCGCCGCGAATTGGGTTACCCGGACACGAGCGCGCCGAATTGAACGAGAAAGCCGACGCGTCCATTTTACAACACCCTCTGCCCGGTCCCATTGCATCGGTGAAATTTATCTCGGCCAAGGTTCACCCCGTCCAACTTCTAGCTACCCTTCTTTTGTCTTTACTCCTTGTTAGTGTAATAAATTAAGAGATCGTTCGTCGACTGAAGAGAACACAACAATGGTCGCGTCAGTCAAAAAGATAGTGACGCGGCAGATTCGCGGGGTTACGAGGGTAGGAAAAGAATGCCCTAAAAATGGCTAAATTGCTGGCAGGATCAGAGGCACGAAAGTTCGTACTAAGAAGGTGAAAAATTGCAAGAAAAAGGCTCTGTCTTAGGCAGTAGAGGGGTTGGCGGTACGGGCCAACTTATCACGACTCGAAGGACCGCCGTCCCTTCCTACCGTCCTTTTGTCAGAATCAAGGACGCGAAAGAGGATCTCCTTTCTCATATTCTAAAGCTGACGCCTCTCGTCTTCCCTCTTGTTCCATCGGCCGGCAGTCGCCGTGAAAGAGCTTCTAAGTGCAAAAACTTTTCCTCCGCGGGAGGGCAACTTCGAAACTGAACCCGAACCCGAACTCGAACTCGAACTCGAACTCGCCGCGTCCCTCTTCGTCCCTTTCCCGTTCGCGGAGGGAATCAATTTTACATTCGACGATAAAGCTTCCTGACACCGAGAGGCCTGCTCCGTTTTCTTTTCTTTCTTTTTTCCACGGAATCTCTGTCGCGTTGTCGGGCCAATCGAAGTTTTACGACTTCCCCGAAGAATGCGTAGGGTCGAAAAGAAACTCGAGGGGTGGAAGAATGCAATTAATCCGGCGGACCTCGACTTTCAGGTGCAACGACGACTGGACCGGTACCAAGTGCGATCAGAAACCGTGCGATCCTCGTTGCGCGGAACACGGCCAGTGTAAGAATGGCACCTGCGTCTGCAGCCAAGGATGGAACGGAAGACACTGCACGCTCCGTAAGTCGAACGTTTCGATGGATACTAGAGATCGATGACCATCCTCCACAGGAGAAAACTCTAACAGCGTATCTTACGGTTACCTTAAAATCAATGCCTCTTCGTATAAATTTTCGTTAAAAATCGATATTCGAGGAATTATCAGAATTATCAGGTTGCAATTGGTGTACATTTGTTTCACTTCCGTCTAATAGAATTCCCTTTCTCGAAACTACCTGTACACCGTTCGAGTAACCGAAGCTAAAGGAACATCGGTTTTCAATTAGTTTTAATCGTCCGGCGACAGTGTGGATTAAAGTATTTGCTCTGCTTTCTTAATAGCCGGATGCGAAAACGGGTGCAGCAGCCACGGAATGTGCACTTTCCAGGACGGCGAATATAGTTGCGAGTGCTCGAGTGGCTGGGCGGGTAGAGATTGCAGCATACGTCTCGAAATGGAATGTAACGATTTCATTGATAACGATCAGGGTGAATATCCAAAGCATACTTAATAACAAACTCAATATTTCGTGCTATCAAAGTATCTAAAAGAAAATATTTCAAGTGGAATTTACTGAGAAGAGCCAGACGCGCAGAGACGGCTGACCATAAACCGGTCTATTCTACTTAATTTCGTTATTTTTGTCGGAGGTTCCTCCTAACCTAAATCTGAACCAAAAACGAATTTTCTTTGTTTCTATTTCCACATTCCCGTCTATACTCGTGCGTATTATTTTTGTTTTATTTCGTATTATCATAAATACCCTACTCTAACTCGATTCTTACTGAAATGTATTCCCTTCGTTTCTGTTATCCCTGGAGGACTATATTTCCACTGTCACTCGAACAAAGCCCGTAAAAAGTCCCCCTCGTTCGCGTTGCCAAAATGTACACTGCGACGAAAAGCATAAACGACGTTAGCGTAAGGTTTGAAGGGAAATACGTGTTCTAAGAAGTAATGTTTCTCAGATGGCATGATGGACTGTTCTGACAGCGAGTGTTGCTCGCACAAAACTTGCGCAGAGCATATCATGTGCCTTACTAGTAATAATCCCGTGGACGTTCTTCTACGCAAACAACCGCCCAGCGTCACGGCGTCCTTTTATCAGCGCGTGAAATTCCTCGTCGAGGAGAACAGCGTACAAAGCTACGCTCATATGAACGAGTACACCGAAAGGTAAGATCGATCATTTCTTATCACTCGATTTACCGTGATTATAATATAGAACGCTTAGTTTCTTATTTTTACGACATGTGAGAGAATAATATTTAGGCGATCGAGCGAGTCGTTGCACGATAGAATTTCTCTAAGCTATCGTTGACGTATAAATTAACTACACGAAAGAGAACTTACTAATCTCGGAGAGAAAAACGGATCCTGAGACGCGGTAGTATCTGCGACGTTTCTGAAGTTTATCGGGAAGTTTTTGAAACCTCGTTACAAGAAAACGCGAATCCACCAGGAATTCTCAATTTGATGAAACTTGGATAAGTTTTGCCCCGTGCAATCTACGGTCTCGAATCGATCGTGACAGCGACTTTCTCGATCGATGTACGCCGATACATGTAACGTTTAACGAAAGAAGACGAAGTATAGTAATAGCTGCGTGTCATAGTTTGGCCTTTTACAATTTCAAACCCGCGTCGAACCGCGCGGTTAATTTCCTCGTTTATTATCATCCACGAGAACTGCGCAAATCATTGATTTCATTCGAAAAGATTTTTTTTGTTCGTCGTTACGGCACGCCCGTGATAAAAAATAATACACGCTCGAAAATGTGCAGTATGCGTACGAAAACGAGAAGAGACCATTGTGTATATCAGTTTCGAAGCGCAGAACGTGTTTGGTCGCACAGACGATGCGCGCACGGTCACGATGGTTTCGTTAAACAGTTTGTTTGCGCGTTTCATTTCCCGGCGAAGCTTCACGATGGGGCAAAATACCAAAAAAAAAAAAAAAAAAAAAAAAAGAGAAAAAAGGAAAGCAAAAAATATTCCCGATACACCTTTCGTACCGTATCGCGCCATCGACGCCGTTCCACATTTTCGTTCGCGGCGGTTTCACTGACCGGTTTCACGCCGTGTTTCACGTTCGACGATTTCGAGCTGTCGCGGAGGAAAGATTATGCATGAGAAAAATTATGCCCGTCGGGAAACGCGCCACGAAAAAAGGATCTTTATTTATTATTTTTCTATTCTCCGGGGCGAAAAGTACGAAAGATCGGATTCCAAAGCACGGCGACGAAAGTAATCCGTGACGCGATCGGAATTCACGTTTTCCCCATCGTGAGCGACTTTCCAATTGAAAAAAAAAATGACAAAAAAAAAAAAGAATGGAAAGAAAAGAGATTTAATCAGATTAACCGCTATACCAAACAATCCGGTGTATCCGTGACAGCTGAATTACGAAGAGAGCCCCCGGTGGGTGACAAACCCTGCCATACCCTCTGACCGTCCTATTCCTCGTGTTTCACCCCCTCCCTCCCCCGAATGCCAAACGCGTCAGTGATCATCTCGGAAGCATTGGAGATCAAAGGAGCTTCCTAACGTGCGTCCCGATATTAATTGCGATTCCATCGCATGCCAGACCGATAGAACGTTTCTGACAGCAAACTTGAACAGCCTTTCGAACAGAGTAATATCACCGTTACGCGGATTAACTCTTTAACGATAGTGTTAAGTCTTATATCTTGAACGATGAGAGACAAGCCTCACCGACAGGAATCGAATGGAAATCCTAAATTCATAACGTGGGAATAGTTTCGAGTAAATTGTACTTTTCTATCGCGTTTACTCTTGACGGAACGAGTGTTTAACCGTAGTGAGAAGATACATACATACGTATATTTGCCAAGACCTACGAGTGGCCTTAAGGACTTGGGTACACCACAGACAGCAGGTGTTGGGCGGCTGTAAGACCCTGCAATAAGTGGCAAAAGACACATTTAGCGGCTTGTACCCTCAAGGTTATCCCTCCCACTCGAGCGTGTCTCAAGTAGCCCACTTGTTCCGGGAATTTTCTACGTTCCTTCCGCGAGCATTCGAAATTATTAACTATTCCCAACTGCTTACTATCGAATGACTAGTTATAAAAGACTTAACATTATCATTTATATGTAATAAGATACTATATTTCGGAGTAACTTTCGCGATACGAGATGATTAGCACGACCAAAGTGACTCTCGTCAAAACCAGAGACATATTCGCGCGTCCATGGTCAGCGACCTTTGTTCAACAGTGATGAAGATTTGTTCAGGACGCGTGCGGCCACGGCGCGCCAGCGGCTGCGAGCGCATTTCGGGGGATTCGTGTATTTTGTCTAGTGTTTATCCTCTGTGTGTACCCTTGCCACCACCAGATCACCATTCACCCCACAGCCGAAGACCGAAAGAGGCTCCGTTCTACGTACAGACTGAATTGAGAAATATATTTAAAAAAAAAAAGATAGAAAAATAGAAAAAAGTCTGCACACCGTAGGAAAAAAAAAAAATGCTCGAGAGACTCGGTTTTTCCGGTGCATCTCGATCGATCGGTCGATCAAGTTCTCGCCTCGCGTCAAGTCTTACATGTTCCAGGCACCGATGTTGTCGTTTTGTCACGAACTGCGCGCGCAATACCAAAAAAAGAAAAGAAAAAGATAACAAGTGTCGTTTTTTTTCCAAAATTCTTGTGATCGCCACAGTTGTTTCGGCCATTCGTTTAAGCAGTTTACCAAAAAAAGGGAGATTCATAGATAAAGCGCACGAGGGCGATCGAATCCACGGCGTCGTTGGCACCGCGCGATCGGGGACGCTGATCTGGAACGCGTAATCGCGGCAATTTGGTAAATCGTCCGGTTCCGTGAAACGATGGCAGCAAAAGGAAACGACGACGCCGCGGCTCGATCGCTCGAGTAAAATTATTTCTAGAAATGGTAGACACAAGTTTGAAATGTCTCGTGCTACTACTGGTTTCCTTTGCTCTCGCGCGTCCTCCCCAGGAGTTCGTATCTGCGTGTCACGTTTTTTGTGCATATACGTATACGACGGTTCCGTCTGTGTCTGAGAAAGGGACGTCGAGAGAGCGGGATAAAAGTTTTGTTTGTCCCTGTTGTGTGTCCGTTGTTTCGCGGCGTCTCGCACGATGGTATTGATCACCGTTTCCGAGCACCCTCGCCGCCTTCTTCAAGACGCTCTTCCTCACCTTCGATCGATTGGAACACGTTGCAGCGTCGTTTTTACCAAGCACTGTCGCTCTATGTACGCAACAGCTTCGCTATAACGTCCGACCGCACCGAATTCGCCGCTCAAGGTCGTCCTGGAGTTACCCCCACCCCCATAACGCTTGCCTACTTTGCTACTTTCCAGCCAATTAGCGCTGAACACAATTTCATTTAGATAACAAACATTACTTGCTGAAAAAATTGTGATATCTAATGAAACCTTTATGTTTCAACGATAGTTAAGTTTGCATTCGAATAACGTAGATCAGTGCTGTCCAATATAAGCTCCGAGCATAGGAAGTTTTCCCCACTTTGTTTTCACTACCATGATACAAGAGCACTTTTCGGTGTTTCCTTGTATTTTTTATTACAAATAATAACTCTTTTGTTTTTTGTACGAAAAGGGGAAGCAAGTGGGCGTGGCGTGTGAGTGGGGATAATGTCCAGCGTGATTCACAGCCGAGGAACGTGGCCTTGAGCGATCAATCGAGTTCGATCCGACTTACGAGAGGAGGTCAGGACTCGGCCTAAGGTTTTTCGTACGACAACAGACTTGAAATGTTTGCGGCAATAAACACAAACAAACGCCGAGATACCAGAAGAAAAATACAGAATAATCTTCGGTTCCCCTTGGTTAATCCGACGACTTGCAAATTTTAATCTTTAACGCTATTTTTTATCAAAACAACCGTGGACCCGTGGCTAAAATTCCAGTGTTTTCGTTTATTATCCGCTACATTCTAAGCCTGGTGTCGTCTGAAAAGCACTCGTCCTAATCCCGACCAACCCCTTGTTAGGTAGATTGCTTTTTCGTCGACTAGAAAAACGACAGCTTCGAAACGACAACGATAACAAAATTCGGTAGATTACCAAGAGAAAAGAGCGGAAAAAAAAAATGACAGTTCGATCCGATCGCGAGAAACGAAACACGGGGGGCATCGAGAATTCTTATCTCGAGGCCGGAGGGGACGAAAACGTCCGTCCCTGCGGAATGGAATCCCGGGTACGGGGCAGACGGAATACAAGTATCCGTGGCCCATGAATCAGAAATTCAGGCTGGCATCGTGATCGCTCGGACACCGTAATCAATATTCCGAAGATCGTCCGCCGACATGGCGGTCGACTCGATGCAGTCTCCTCTCATTGTCAGTCCGGGGGCTCCCTCGGAGCCGGGCCAACCGACGATAAGAGAGATCGCCTCGAAACGCTGTCGTTTCGGATCGTCGTCGACTCGAGACGGGACGCCGGGCGTCGGAACAAAACGACCAACGCTCGTTAACGTAGCGCGCTGACGTTTGGGTCAGTCATCCGAGAGACCAGATCCAAGCTCTCCCTCGCTCTTTCTCGCTATCTTTCTTTCTCTATATTGTGCATACATACATATATGCATACATATCTATGCGTGTATGTATCTATGTACATCATATACGTGATGTGTGTGCGTAGTTTCCAACTTGTGTCTGTCACGTGTATACCACTCTATGTTGGATGAGTCTGCGGGTGACTGCGTTCATGTTGGCGTGACTGGCGAAGACCGTGTGTGTGATGGGTACGCTTGATTTAGTGTGTGTCTACGTCTATTGTTTCTGTAACGGCGTGCGGAACATTGCGAGGAGCACTCGATTCCGTCGCGGTGTCGACACGGGGGGGGACGGGGACAGCGTCGCGACGCCCTGTGGGGGGATCCCACCCCGCGAAGGAGTCCGCGCGATCTCTCGATCGTTTCGTTACAGCTCCGCGGGACAGGACAAGTAAACTTACGATGGAAACGATTGCTCGCGCAATGTTGCGTACGCGCGTCCGTTTATTTGCCCGCTACACGCGGGTTCTGTGACCGTGGTAACGCCCTTTCTTCTCGTTGGTTTTTCCCACACGTAGTACGTTCTGGAGTTCCTTTACACCGCGGTAAGTTGCAGCTCAAGCTCTCGCTAATCGTTCATTATCCAAACAACAACAAAAAAGTACCATCTATTGCTCGTTTCGCTCGTACATTCATCTTACATGTTTTTTCGTATGTCCCGTATATGTATCTATCTATCTGTATATGTATGTTACTACCTTTAGCCTGCGTTTTATAACTATTTTTCTTCCGTTTCGATTCTACTGTCATTTACTTCCGTCTATCCCTATCGCCTCGATCCCGTTCTCGGCCTGCTCATCGATTCGTTTACGTTGCCAGTTATAAGTTCGCCAGTGTTTGATCATACTTCTCGCTTGTTCGACTCATCCACCGTTAACCTCCCCAACCCTTATTCTCTAACTCTATTTTTTAATCGCTGTCTCTTGTTCTCTTTGTACCCTTTTTCGATCTATCGCTCTCTATCGCTCACTCTCATTCGCTATCTCTTTCTTCCTGTACTTACCTATCTACCTGTGTATCTCTTTCTATCGTTTCTTTCTTTTGGGCCCGATGGCTGCGTTCGCGCGCAGGCTGCTCTCGAGAAAGCAGATTCAATCGTTTCGGTATAAATTCACCGACTGCAGTTGCTTCTGGAGATGTCCTCACACGCATCGATCTAACAATCTCGTCCAGTCGACGATCGGTTGCATCACGTTTCTGTCTATAGTTTAACAACGTTTGACCGTGTTCGATGTATGATTCAGCCGCGCGCGAAACCGCAGCCCCTTCGGTCCGTTTCACACCTACATTAAAAACTACTATCGTACGAATTGTCTCTGTGTTATCTGTGATATGTCGTCGGTATGTTGTCTTCCCCCGCCGTTTCCTCCCGTCTGTTCTTTTTGTTCTGTTATGTATTGTCTTCTTGTCCTTAGCGCTAAGTTAGCTACGTCTTACCCCCGTAAAATGGCTCTAGTATGTTTGAGAATCGTGTTCTTATACGATACGATATATATATATATATACATATATATACCTGGTCTTGTGTTGTTTTGTGTTGCCAGGCTTGCACTTTTATGTACGTATAAACCCCATTGTCTCGAATTTGTCTCTAGTGAACTTGTCCCTAGCATTCACACGAAAACGCTGACTTTATCGCGCGCCTCTTGTTGCGTCCAAAAGACTCTTGCGTTCCATAACCTTTTTTTTCTTCAACTGTTTCCTTTATCCGTCGTTACGAAGCATTACGATATATAATAACAATAGAGATGACGAAAAAAAAAAGAATGTATAACGGAGAGAACACAAACGATGAACGACAAAATACGAACGTGTCTGCCACGTATTTTTTCATTTTTTCTTCCGTTTAACCGACGAATCGGCAAATATGTTATGCAATTTACGGAGATCGGAGAACAACCGTACCGAAGCTTTTCTATACACGACGACGATAAATGATGATCATGAAAGGACCCGAAAGGACCATCCCTCCTTGTCCCTTGTCTACGTCTGTTATCACCTGTCTTACAATGTGCCAATAACCCCGTACACCAATGCCCTGTGTCTGTCTTGAACCGATCCGTGCTATCTACCCACCGAAAGTGTATCATATGCCAAAACACGACCAAACCCTCTTTTTAAGAAATCGATTCTAGTCCGATCGCCGCGTATCCTACGAAAGTTACACGTCTATCGTTCGGTCCCGCGTTCGCCACGGCATATTCACTCGACCCGTCGGGAATTTTTCACGCGCGGGAATCAGCAAACGTGATTTGAAAAGAGAAAGAGGAAAGAACAAACAGACGAGAAAAATAACAAAAAAAAAAAAAACAAGAAGAAAAGAGGAGAGAGTCTCCGACACCGAAGGAATTCGCGAGAAACGAAATGGAAAGGCACGAAAAAGATCCGACGTACCGTATCCGAAACGAGAAGATAAACAAAACTGAAAGAAAAAAAGAGAGAGAGATAAAGGGAGACAGATGAATCGGTAATATTGCGTCGGAGTGTCGCGCGATTTCTCTCTCTTTAACGAGACACCGTCCGTTCTCTTTTTATTTTCTTCATTTCCCATCGTTCGAACCGTATTGTATATTTAAAAATGAAAAAATATATAAATATAGGTTCGATAGTCTGCTGCCTTCGAGATCTCGGTGTGTTCGAGACCGTTGACTACGCATCCGTTCTCTATTTTTCCGTTTCATTCTTTCGATTGGTTCACACTTGAGTTTCTTTTTTTCTTTTTTTTTTTTTTAACCATTCACTATGGTTTGGACTTACCAGTAGTGACGACTGTGCCTGCCACCTTGCTGTGCCCGTACTTGGAGGATCAGCACCCCGGCTCGTTGTTTGATCCCCAAGTCAACCGACGAAAATGGTGGCACGGTGCGCGCAGCCGGAAGTAGTTCCCGGGACCTCGACGATCGTTCGTTACGGGGGGAAAGTGCGATCCTCCAAGAACGAATCATGCCCCCATACGCAATCCCTTAGGGACCGATTAATATATTTATATATCTACATACCGAACGCATCTATGCAGCCTATTACACGGCCTCCGATTCACTCTTGCAATCACATCGTGATCCTTAATTGCTTCATAATACTTCGAGTCTCGTACAGCGTCAAGCTTACCTATTATACCAACTTTCTATAAGAGAAACTAATTTTTCTAAACAATATTCAGGGATTGCAAACTTCTCTCGCGTAGCGACTTAGCCGGAAATCCTGCAAAGTTAAATCTTCGCGCGCGTTATTTAACCTTACTAGTACAGCCTCTCTCCATATCGTTTGTTCTAAGTTTATACACCGGATCCGCCCGTTGAGGCATTGACACGCGACTAAGCGTCACCGTGTATATTTATCTTGTTTACAGGCATTATTATTATTCAATGAAAGGCACTGTGACAGGCTGCGTACGTATGCGCGCGATACACCGCATATTCTATATATATATTATTATTATTATTATTATTATTATTATTATTATATTATTATTATCTACCTACCTACATCGATCTCATTATATTCAGCACTACACAGATCGCTTAAAATATTCAGCTTTAACATACTCCAACTTTATATATCGCAGATAATCCAGCCCTGAAATTTATTACGTACCATATTTTTCATTACGCCTATTACGTATCTATTACATGATATATATGCATGCGTTCTACTCTCACGAAAGTACCAAAAACCCACGATAACTCCCCCTTATTTACCTGCCTCGGGACGATCATTCTTTATTTGCCGAATGATCTTCTTTTCTCTCCGCCCAACTACCCCCCAACCCCCGAAAGACAGTGCTCGAAAACCAAAACAATATCCACAAACAAGAACAACAACAAAAAAAAAAAAAAAGAGAAAAAAAAATGAACGAACAAAAAGAAAAACATGTTCCCGCCTCGCTGCCAATGCAAGCGCGCCCGCGCCCGCCATTATTCCGCGTTTGTAGAATCAATTTGCATCGCTTCCCGATTCCCGATCGTAGCCAATGGAGTCGCGGGGACCGTATTGGCAGCGAAGTGAGAATATTGGATCGCATTGAACCGTTGACCGCGGAAGCTGATTTGACAGACGGAGTCGATTGTTCGCGCTTAGGATACCTTGCAGAGAGAGAGAGAGAATCGATTCGATTTTTGTCTGGAACTCGTTCGACGGAGCTGGGCAGATTTTATTCGCGTGTATCGATCAGAAGTTTTTAAATTCGTTCGCGATACATCCTTTGCCTAAAATAATTCGACCCCTCGACGGCTAGCAATTAACGTAGACCCAACTGTGATATAGCCCAGGGTCCAAACGACCGATCAAGCTTCTCTGTGCAAGATAAAACAGTTCTCGCGAACGAAATTTGGCCAACTCTGCCCTCCAGCATCGTTTCCGTCGGTCGTCCGTCTATTGCAGAGGGAAGGAATGATCAGACCTGGAAGGAATAGCGAGTCGTATTGGGTCAGACGTCCACGTTCCACTTACGGATGGCATCGCATTCTACTTACAGATGACACCACGTTCCCCTTGACTCGGGGCTGATCTTTCTTTCCCCTAGCAATAGACGCGTTCCGTTTCCGGGGTTTCTTATTTTTGTAATTTTTTGATTCGCGGGCTTCGAATCAGCGTTCCGCGGCGCGACGGATCAACGACACGATCCGATTTCAAGAGACCTCGATATATCTTTGATTTGTAACAGTCGAGTGGCGGTGATGCGAGGCCAAGTTGTAACCGAGCAAGGGATCGGAATAGTAGGCCTCAGAGTGTCCGTGGACAGGGACTCTCGCTTCGGATTCACGCTGACCAGAGCCGACGGATGGTGAGTAAAATTTTTGTTACAAATTGCCAATACGTATTTTACGAAACGGTTCTATCAAGCCCGGAAAAGACAGCGGCCAGACCGTGGAAGGGACTTCCATTTGCTCGTGATCGAACAGTCGAAACGAAAAAGGACCGCGCGCGGTCGATTCACGGGGTTTTAGAGCATCCGGCCGGGGATGGAGTTGGTAGATATCCACGAACGTCGGTACACCGTATGCATGACATTAGTATTTGTGCAGGAGGATGCGCGGCTGGCGTGTACGCCAGCTTGGACGTCCTTCGTAATAGGATCAAGGCTGCATTGTAGCGAAGGGCGGGAGGGTGGGGGGAGAAGGAGTCGACGGGAACACCTATATCAACCAGGTGTATAGTAATCCTGGCGAGGATAATCCTGAAACACGGAGCTGGAGGAGTTGGCCCTGTAAACCACATCAAAGCCCGAGCTAATGATGTCGAAAGCTTCCTAATTACTCCGTGCAAACCTGCGTGATTAGTCTGACCTCCGTTACCACCATCAGCCCACCTTGCTTCGCCCCACGACTCTACCGCCCCCTCCGCCCCGCCTCGCCATCGCTGTCGAAATTTTACGATAATATGCTGAGCTACGAATGAGAGATTGCATCGCGGCGAAATCCCCGTCGAACTCGTCGAAACGTCGGGCGTCTACGACTCGAAACGTTCCGCGAGTTGTTCCGGGTAATCCCCGCGAAGCCCGGAATCGGGCAAAACTGTTGTACTCGTCGCTTCTATTTCGCATTAATGAATATACCGGAACCAGACGACGGATTGGCAGTTATTGCCGCGGACTGGGTTTGATAAACACCGGGGAAACGCGAATGTTTGCGGCTGTTTGATTGCGAGTACCCTTGTGCACGGCTTACGCTAAGTCCTCCGCGAGCAGGCAGACCACTCCGTCGGGTATTCCCCTTGCATTTCCGAGTCGGACTTCAGAATCGGATTCGCGATACGCAAAAGTTGCGGGAACAACGGATATGCCGGCTGGGTCTGGAAAGAAGGAAGTGATCCGGATTCTACCACCTTAGACTTCGATGATTTTCAATGTCTTGTGAAGTGGAAGATTTTTCGTTTTTATGCATCGATGCATCTAGAAGTAATTACCCGACAGCACAACTGCACGCTGTAGATGGTCCATTGTCTTCGTTCCTTTTATCGATGACTTCCTTCCAAAGTGTATTTCAAGATCGAAGCTACTTTGTTCCGAATTGGAATTCTGTTTCGCTTCGGCTAGAAATGCATCGCAACGATACTTTAAATCTACTTCTTATTCTACAGCAGTCCCGATAGTATATCTTGCAACTTCTCCTGACACAATACCAAATTTCTTTTTTAAAGTTCCGCAGCAATGTTAAAGAATTTGTACGACTGTTGCGCCCGAAACTACCCTTACGGTTCGGTCACAGCTGAGGCTAACCGACGTGTATCCCTTATCGATCGACCAGACACCCCCGAACGCAATACCGGAAGCGGTATAGTTTGAAATGCATTTACCTACTTCGATCAGGTTTGACGTGCTGGTCAACGGCGGCGGAGCAGTGACGCTTCAGTTCCAGCGTAGCCCCTTCAAACCCCATACGAGGACCGTGTTCGTGCCATGGAATCAAATAGTGGTCCTACCGCCCGTGGTGATGACCCTTAACATGGAAGACGATAAATCCAACCAACCCCCCAGTCCAGCTGTCGGTAAGTATCGCTTCTTTCTACATCGTTCTCGTCTTTTTCCGTTCACCTTCTGTCGCGTTTCGTCCGATTTGTTTCGTTCAAAAAAGTAATCGCTAGTTCTGATCATCATCGGAGAAGCAAACGAGGTCGTTCGAAACCTCCCTGAACGTGTGTGCCGTCTTTGTTCCGTCCTTGAGTGTTTTACGTTTTTAAGTTCCTTACCATTTATGGCGTACAACATAATAGGCTTCCCAGGGATATCGATGGGACTCTTTAGCGAGCACGGCCCGTGTCTGGAGCACGACCATGAGCTCCTGCGCCCCATCATCGTCAGCACTTGGATGCCGGAAAAAGTCGGCGGTCTGCCCGGCAAGAGTTTGGTGTTCGCCGAAAGTCAGGTAAACAAATTGCCCGTTTGCACCCTCCTCGGAACTTCCCCGGTCCAAGTCAAAGCACCGTCCCAAGGCGATTTAAAATTCAAATGTCCCTGGGTCCTTCCTCCCTCCATCTGGTGAACAACGTCGAGTTTTCGATGCGAACGGCTGACCGGTTCTTTGCAGATCGTGCAAGAGAGTATCGCGATTCCGGGCTCGAACCTCCACTTGATGTACCAGAGCAGCCAGGCGGCCGGGTACTTGTCGACGGTGAGGATGCAGCTGACCGGCCCGTTCATTCCGAAGTCGCTGACGCACGTGCACGTGCACGTAGAGATCGAGGGCTCCCTTCACACGAAGACTTACGAGGCGGACCCCAATCTGACGCACACCTTCGCTTGGAACAAACGGAACGTTTACAAACAGAAGGTGTACGGCGTGGCGCAGGCCAGGATCTCGATAGGCTATCAGCACTCTACTTGCGAATCGATGATCTGGGAAACACAGACCGCTACCTTGCAAGGATTCGACGTGGACATCTCGGACATCGGCGGCTGGGGCCTCGACATCCATCACCACTACAACTTCCACGAGGGTATCCTTCAGAAAGGCGATGGCACCACTCTCCACTTCAAGCAGTATCCGCGCACCGTAAAAGTGGTGATGGGCACTGGGCTCAAGAGAAGCTTGGTCTGCCAGGACTGCAACGGACTGGCCAAGGACGCTCGACTCTTGACCCCGGTGGCCCTGACCAGCGGTCCAGACGGCAGCATTTACGTGGGCGACTTCAATCTCGTCCGCAGGATCACGCCTGAAGGAAACGTCTACACCGTGCTGGTCTTGAAGTAAGTGTCGAGCTTGCACGGGGTGTCGAGAACAGAAGTAATTCGTATTTGCATTCACAGCGCGACGCAGGTGGCCTACCAGTATCACTTGTGCGTCTCTCCGGCCGACGGACACCTCTACATCAGTGATCCTGAAAAACATCAGATACTCAAGGCGCTCACGCTGAAGGTAGTCCAGAACCCCAGCATCAACATCGAACCCGTCGTTGGAAGCGGGGAAAGATGCATCCCTGGTGACGAGAGCCACTGCGGAGACGAGGGACCAGCCATTCGTGCCAAATTGGCTCATCCTAAAGGTAACAGGACGTCTTAACTTTGCAAATTGAATGGGAAACAGTTTGATGCATCGTCTCCATTTCGTAGGAATCGCGATCGCAGCCGACAAGACCATGTACATCGCCGACGGGAGGAACATCCGGGCAGTGGATCCCGACGGTATCATTCACACTTTGGTGGGCCATCACGGTCACCATAACCATTGGTCGCCGGCGCCGTGCGTCGGTGCCATACCCGCTCATCAAGCCCAACTCCAATGGCCGACCGGATTGACCCTAAGCCCCCTGGACGGTTCCCTGCACTTTATCGACGACAGGCTAGTCCTGAAGCTTACCAGCGACCTGAAAGTGCGCGTTGTAGCGGGCACGCCTCTCCACTGCACCAGCAACACCAACGGGAACAGCAACGACGGGGACCTCGTCGTCAAGATGAACTCGTCGATCACCACGAACCCCAAGAAATCGGAGGAGGTGCTGGGCTCTGTGTTGGCGGTTGGCTTCAGCCCAACCGGGGAGCTTTACATAGCGGAGAGCAACTCGCACAAGGTGAACTCCATCAGGACCGTGGACAGCTCCGGGAAGATGTCTCATTTCGCTGGCCAGCAACAGCAACGGCTGCGCGACCAATGCGAGTGCAACAACACCACGCCCAGCACGAAAGATCTGGAGAGCTGCGCGTGCACTGATGACGCGAGCAGCACGGAGACCCTGTTGTCGTCCAACGCAAAGTTCACCGCGATCTCCGCCCTGGCGATCTCGCCCGATGGTGTTCTGCACGTGGCGGACCAGGGCAGCCTGCACATCCTCGCCCTTCAGCCCTATCTTCCGAATCACGACGAGAGCGGAGAGTTCCACATACCGTTCCCACCGACCAACGAGGTTTACGTGTTCAATCGGTACGGTCAGCACATCTCCACGAAGGACCTGACGTCCGGGAAGACGCGGTACTCGTTCCTGTACAGCAAGAACACGAGCTTCGGTAAGCTGTCGACGGTGACGGACAGCGCTGGGAACAAGATTCAATTCCTGAGGGATTACAGCAGCGTGGTCAGCTCGATCGAGAACACGCAGGACCACAAGTCGGAGCTCAAGATATCCGCGGTCGGATTCCTGGAGAAGCTGTCCGAGAGGGGCAGAGCAGAGATCGCTCTCGGTTACGATGGCTCTACCGGGTTGCTGACCAGCCGATCGGGAGGCGGTGAAACGTACATTTACAATTACGACAGTCTGGGACGCGTGACAGACGTGATTCTGCCTACCGGGGAGAAGTTGAAGCTGTCCTCGGACTTGTCCGACGACGAAGGCTTGTCGGTCAAAGTGTGGGCTCCCCTTCGAGCTCTGTCGAAAGGCGACAGGCAACGGAACGTCGAATTCGTCATGAAGAACGAGAAGTCGAAGATGCTAACGATCACCGACGGCACGAAGGTCAAACAAGCTGTTGCATTTACGAACAGTAGCTTGGAAGTTCTCCTCCCGGGCGGTGGAAGGGTCCTCAGCGCAGCTACCACCAAACATCCGCTGTTGGAAGCCGCGTTACCGGTGGAAGCTGAAATGTTACCCATGTGGAGCTACCAGTTGATGTCCTTGGGAGAGTTGACCAACACCATGACCACCACGTACAGCTTAGTGGGCGACGTCAGTCACTTCCAGCAGACGCTCAACAGAGAGATTTGGGTGAACGACACCCGGGTGATCGGCGTGGAGTTCGAGCAGGCGTTCAGTCGCGAAACGTTCTACGACAAGACGAGGAATCCGCTTCTGACGGTGACCTTTGATCCCGCTGGTCTGCCTCTGACCTGGCAGCCTTACGAGCAAGGTCACAATCTGAGCATAACGTACGACAGATTCAATCGCATCGACAGCTGGAAATGGGGCGGATCCGACGAGACGTACGGCTACGATCGCCACGGGCAACTAGCGGAGGTGACCAACAGCCAGGACGGCACGAAACGGTTCACCTACAACGACTTCAACATGCTCTCCAAGATCACTCTGGCCAGCGACAGACACTTCTCCCTGCAGTACGACGACGACGGTGGGCTGCGTCACATCATCCTCCCGTCAGGAACCAAACACTCGTTCTCCTGTCAGGCGTCGCTGGGCTTCCTTCGAGTGACGTACACGCCGCCAGGATGCAGCAGGGTGTATCTACAGCATTACAGCCACGACGGGAACCTGCTGCAAACCGTGTTTCCGGGTGACGGTGCCCGCATCGTCTACAGGTACCACACTTCCGGTCAACTCGCCGAAGTTGTGCACGGCGACGGTAAAAGCGAGATCAGGTACACGGAGAGCGGTTTGCCGTCCGAAGTGATACACTCTGAACGCGACGTGGAGTACAAATGGGATTACCAGTACAGCGCGGGTCTCCTCGTGGAGGAGCGCATCGACTTTGGCGCCAAAACTGGCCTCAGCAACGCCAAGTTCACCTTCGAATACGACTCGAACTTTCGACTGATCAACGTGCAGGGCAGAATAGGCGGTCAGACTCTGCCCACTCACACGATGGCGTACAGTCCCAGGACGGGTATGCTCGAGCAAATAGGGCAGTTCAAGGTGACCAGGCCACAGTCCAACGAAACCACCGTGTTCGACGGCACGGCGCTCTTCTCCAGAATGACCGACGACAGGTTCTTGGAGACCCAAGTGACGCTGACCATTCATCAGCTGGAGGTGTTCAGGATGGAGTTTGCTCACGATTCCCGAGGTCGTATCAATCAGACCAGGACCTACACGCGCAACATAGCTGTGAACACGTACACCAACGTGAAGAATTACACCTGGGACTGCGACGGTCAGTTGACCGGCGTCGAGGCGCAAGAGCCTTGGGGGTTCAAGTACGACGGTAACGGGAACATGCTGTCGCTCACGTACAGAGGCAACACGATACCCATGGAGTACAATAACATGGACAGGATCGTGAAGTTTGGCGAGGGGCTTTACAAGTACGACAACAGGGGCTTGGTGGTGCAAAACGCCAGAGAAGAACGGTTCAATTACAACGCCAAGGGCCTCTTGGTTCGAGCCACGAAACGCGGACGGTTCGACATCAGATACTATTACGATCACCTGGATCGTCTCGCCACCAGGAAAGACAATTACGGAAACGTTACGCAGTTCTTTTACAACAATCAGAAACGGCCTCACGAAGTGAGCCAGATATACAGTCCGCGGGACGGTAAACTAATGTCGTTGGTGTACGACGACAGGGGACATCTCATCTACGCACAAGTCTACAGGCACAAATATTATATCGCCACCGATCAATGTGGCACCCCGATCATGATCTTCAGCCAGTACGGCGAGGGCATCAGGGAAATCATGCGATCGCCCTATGGACATATCGTTTACGATTCGAATCCGTATTTGTATCTACCCGTTGACTTTTGCGGGGGACTTTTAGATCAGGTAAGACGGTCATTGATAACTAGAAATTGTTTGCAAGCTCGACGTCTAATTGCTCGATGCGCAGGTAACTTCGTTGGTGCACATGCCGAACGGGAAAGTCTACGATCCGCTGATAGGCCAGTGGATGTCGCCATTGTGGGAGAACGTTCTCGACAGGGTGGACATCCCGACGCATCTCCACCTGTATAGATTTAACGGAAACGATCCTATCGATGTCAGGCACACGGACAGGGCAAATCAGCCAACAGGTAATCCGTATTCTATTCGTCGGAAACACCGATCCGCAATATACTCAACGCGTTTTCATTTTCCCAGACCACATATCATGGATGTCGCATCTCGGGTACGACCTGAAGAACCTGGCGCCGCAACTGTTCCCCGAGGAGCTGCCCGACAGCCTCGTTCCGCCCGCCCTCGGTCCAGGCACCTCCATCTTCGGGAAAAAGAAGAGAACCAGGAACCTGAGCGTCCAATCCGGCTTCCTCGCTCATATCGCGCAGAGGCATTCCGGCGACGCGATCAGTCTATCGGCGCCGCCGCGTTCCGCGCTGAAGAAGGACACCAGCGAGCTGATACCGAGTCGTCTGGGCGCAGCAACCGATCCTCCGTTCGGGAAAGGTATACTGGTGTCCAGGACAGAGGATGGCCAGGCTGTCGTGTCCAGCGTGCCAACCGCGAACGCCATCTACGGCGACGTGTTCACGTCGGTGTTCAACCGTTCCTACTTCCTGCCGTTCACGTTCGTCGTGCACAGCGCCCAGCAGGACGCGTTCTACTTCGTGAAGGAGGAGACCTGGCGAGCCAGCGAGGATCGCGGTCAGCTGAAGCGTCTCGGCGGTCAGGTGAACACGACGTTCCACGAGAACGAGAACGGGAGCGGGAGCAGCTCGCTGATAGACGTGAAGATCCACGGTGTCAGCTACGTGGTGAACCTACGTTACGGCACCACCGCCGAGAAAGAGAAACAAAGACTGCTACATCACGCAAAGACGACCGCGATTCGCAAGGCCTGGCACAGGGAACGCGAAGCCCTGAAGGCGAACACACCGACGACGATCGAGTGGATGGTGGCGGAGCAGGACGAGATACTGAAGTCGGATCGGGCGTCCAACTACGAGGGCGAGTACATCCACGACGCGCAGCTGTACCCGGAGCTAGCGGAGGACCCGTACAACATCCGGTTCGTGAAGAAGGCGGTCGACCCGTCCAGCAAGAAGCGACGCAGAAGGAGAGGCGCGCCCACCTGTAAGCTGTGGTGGTTGGACAAGATATGCTAGATCGACCTAGCCGGAGTCCTCCTCCCCCGAGCCGGGAGAACTGTCCAAAAATCGAAGCAACAGGAATTTTCGAACGTGGCGTGAGAGAGAATCCGAACGGATCGGTTGACGGGAATCGAGCCGCTGTACCGCGCGGCGTCCGTATGCACACGTAAACGTACTGAACACTATCAAAAAAAGTTTTATACCAAAGTCTATTTGTGTATTTCAAAGATGCCAAAAACATTAAGGTTAATATGATTATATTGTACCGTGATAGGGTGTAGTGTGTAAGGGTTCTAAACACGTGCGGCGTTTATGAGAGATGGACGCGAAACGTTCCGAGATACCTGTCTCTCGTACCCGTAGAAATTGGGGAGGGGGGTGTTGTAACGGAAAGAACCGGAAGTAACTCGGATGTTCCTCGTCGCGAGGCGGATAGTTCTCCTGTACGACAGACGGTGCCGTGCTCGGCAGGTCTGGGTTAGCGAAATTCGCCAAGGGACGGCCCGGCATTGATAGAACGCGACGCACCATGAGGAAACGACGAAAGCCAACGACCGCGGGAGCAGGCCATTCGTCGTTGAGGCGAATCGAGTGAGAGAAACTAGTCAATATATAGCTTTACATTGACGTAGAAACTTTTTCCAGTAGGATAAGAACGACGAGAAGAGTGTGGACGCCTACAGGGTGTACTCGCCTGTCGCGATATCTTAGCCGTACTTAGATTACCGAACGACGAGGATCCAGGACCAGACGCCTCGATCACGAGAAAAATAACAAAACGAAACCGGGATACGATAGGTACGCTAACGTCGCGAGTGAAGGAGACACGGAGGCGCGTGTATCTCAACAATGAATGGCCCTGTGGAAGCGGAAGAGGAAGAGGAGGATCGAGAAGGACCCGGCGTCCAACTTACGATGATCGAAGGCTGGAAAACGTTGAGGTGTACTATAAAGTGGTGCTTTCTCGTGCGATGAGAATCGGTGCGACAAGTAACGAGGGTGAATAGTTAGAGGACATCGGAACATACTAAATAGCGTGGCTAAGGTATTTTTAACTGATGGATGTGTCCTATCCCCGTTCCCCCTTTAGCGCCAGCGTCCACCACTTCCTCGAGGATTTCTATATGTCGCGTCGTGTACGAATCGTTCGAAAGGGAGGCTTTATCGTTACTCCGGGGGCTATCGGTAGACGAGAACGGTCCCCCGCGACCGACGACGATCACGGGGCAGAAGGAAGCGTCGGGCGTGCGAGCCTATGTCTGTCTGTTTATGTAAGCCACGCGAACGTGGACAAACTCATTATCGGTAAAAAAAATAATACGTATACACAATATACATATTCGTGCTTGCTGGATATGAAATAACGAACGTTAACTATCGTTTCTTCACCGAGTAACTAAGTGTGTATATCTAAATTAACGCTGATCAGTACCGATCGTTTCGCTGTGTACTGAACGCCATATACGTCTCTACGTGCATAAGATATTATTTAACACCGGCCCCCCCCCCCTCCCTCGGTAACCCTCCACCTCCCGATTTCCAATAAACTCTTTCGATGCACGAACCCGTGACTTTGAGCTATCGAAAATTAGCACCGAGAAGATTTCAAACCGCGTATTCAAACTTTTCTGTGTCTTAGCACTCTGAACCCCTTCCCGTTCTTAACCCCCCAACCCCCCCTCCGCTGGTTTCCTTTCTTTCGATATGCCCCTCGATTGCTCCAACGCGTTACTTCACCGCGTTTTACTCGAAACGTTTATATAACTCGCCATATTGAATACTTTGCGACGGCTTTAGGCGGCGCCGTTTTACGGGATAGATAGATGACAACACACTGACATTCGCTGTCCGGATAGATGAGAAAATTACAAAACGAAAAAAAAGATAAAACCTTATACGCTGAGTGTATAAACGAACAGAAACAAAAAAAAATGAATTATATATATATATAGAAAGGAGAGAAAGAGAAAGAGAAAAAGAGAGTTATATAGGAAAGCTTCGTAATGTATTTTTGACTCGAACTCGAGTGTTTAGAGCCTACGGTAACACCAATTCTTCAAACTCTGCGGTCCAAGCGAGCACTCGTCGGTTATACGCTCGTGCCCCTAACGAGGTCGAAGGCGGTCTTTGTTTTAATAATAACATAGATATATCTATACGCTGCATCGGACACACGTCACGCGTACTTCGAAACGCGTCCGTTCTTTCGCACTTTCTCGTCTCCCACCCTCTAAATTAACGCTGCCAACACGAATCTCGGCGAAAGGACGGAGCATCGCGCGACGAACAGACCCTCGAATGATCGTTGGTGATCGAGCCACAACTTCGATTCGTGGCCCTCTAAACACTCACACTGCCCACCCACTCCGCCCCCTCACCCGCCCTTCCACTCCGTCACACCTCGCCCACCAGTCCCATTTATTCGTATCTGTAACCGTATATAATTACCATTGAATCGGCAATGGCGTTCAAAGAATCGACTATTTTTTAAAACGAAAAGTAAAAAGGTATCGAGTGTCAAATTATTGAGAGAAGAGAGAGTGTGTGTGTGAGAGAGAGAGAGAGAGTAAAAGTTATGGTGGTATTCTCAAACCGTGCAGGGTCGCGAGAACGGTACCGCAGCTTGTTCTTCGCGTTCAAATCGTGCCAGAAAAACGAGAACAGTAAAAAGGCGAAGCAAATGACGAGTGAACTCGCTCTCTAACTTCCGTGAAGTTTCGACTCGTTTCGCGGGAAAGAAATAAATGGTAATGAACAAAACGGGAACTTTTTATACGTTCGCCCCGACGAAGTTTTTCGACCGCTGGGGTTGACGCGATTATTATAAATATGAATATATATAAATATATATATAAATATAAATACTTCTGGAATTAACGGGGTAGAAATTGCTCGAAGGGGCAAAACCGAACGATTATTACGATTGTATTGATTATAAACTACGAACTACACGCGGATCGTATATACGAGGAGATTATGAGAAATTATGAGATCTATGGCCGGAAGCTAGCTGAATCCGTCGGACCACGTGGGTGTATGCTTACTCGATTCTCGCGAAGCGAAACCTCGTCCTCGTCGGCGAGTCGAGATCAGGAACAGCACAGAAGTTTCGAGCACACGGGAGAGAGTGATATAATTAAAAACAAAGAAAAATTAATATTGAGGAAAAAGAGTGTGAGAGAGAGTACGAGAGAGAGAAAGGAGAGCGAGTGAATGCAGAAGAGTCAAGTCATGCTGCAGCTACTACGACCACTACCTACCCCTTAAGTAGATTAACGCTACTTTGCTGCTGATCTAATTGTTTACTGTCACGTGTTGCTGTAAACCTAAACTACCGATACGATATATTTTATTTATATAATCTAATCGACTGTATTTATTGTAAATAGTCACGATGTTTGCTATGATATAATATATCTGTAATTGGATGGAACCTGCCTGAGACTGCGCCCAGCCCTGTCCTCTATAATTGTGTCTCTTTGTACTCGCGTACACACGATACACGTACACACAACAAACACACACACACACACACACGTACGTGGACACACAGATCTATATATATATATATATATATAAAGGTAACGAAGAGAGGGGGACGATTCGATTATCAAGAATCCGTGGACGAGCAGGTGCAAGCACAGGTATTAGCTTATCTGAGCGACGAAGGGAGAGATAAAGACAGATCTGTAACGCGTCCGGCGAACTATTACGATGTCAATATTTCGTCTCGCATTGGACGACAATTCGAGGAGCCGTACTCCTCGTTGTCGTAACTCTGCTCCACCCCCCCCCCCCAACCCCTATATCGATTCCGTGAATCTCACTCATTCGGGAACCCTTTCGAGGATGAAAGCGAACGATGGTCACAGATAATTTTTATAAATGTATTTCCCCCCATCCCCACCCGGCCCCCGGTACTTTCGACGAACTCCGGATCGATCGATGGTCGTCGTAGAGGCGCTCGAAAGAGTTTGGCAAAATAACAAAACGAAAAAGAAAAAGAAAAAGAAAAAAAAAAAAAAGAAACGATATAAAATTCCAATTGACGAACCGCTGCCACGTCTGGCACACTGTGTCACACAACCCAACCAGCATGTCCAATAACTTACAATATTACTATCATAAGTACAATATATTAAATGTTTTCAGAAAATATATGATCTATATATGATAATAAAAACGGGAAAACGTTTCATTGGCGAGTCTGTAGTTCACGTCATTTTGATCCTCGTTCACCTTCGCCCTCGTGCTCTCTGAGTACGGTACCGCCCCCTCGAGCCTAATTATCCGCGATCGGCTGTGGACGGACGTTCCTTCATTCTAACCAGGATGCAGATTGCTAGCAGGAAGCTTAGCAACTGCAAATGAAAATCGTTCGAGACTTTATTCGTGTCCTTTTGATTTCAAGTACACTGTACTGACTTTGTTCGGCAGTGACTTACTATGATCAGGAAGATCAAGAGCGCGGATATGCTTATCGCGTGAACGTGTGACTTGAGTAACAGCATGGCGTTTCTCAAACATCCAGTCTTGAATGCTACGGCATCCGTCATTCGTATGCACTAAAGAACATACGTTTATGTAAACGCGGAAGGATTAATTTTCGTAAAACCTTTACTTCTTCGATGGAATTGGCGCAGCAACTTTTCGGAATGCTGACGTGATACTTGGCCCAGTCACTCGATGACTTGATTCCACAACATTTCAGCTAAAAACACAGTTCTTTCTTAACTTCTCTATAGTACAGCGTATGGTAAAATACTTTCACTATTGTAACTAATAACTAGACCATCTACTGAAAATAAACGAAGAGGATCTTTTACGTGTCTCTGAGTGTTGTCCCAGGATTCTCTACTCGACAAAAGGGAATTATAAGTTTCCATAGTAGTGACCATGTCTTTCTGGACGTTAATCGTGATATGCTCGAAGATCCAGAAACTCGATATACCGCTAACAAATATAATGCAGAGAAACAACAAGCAACACGTAGCGTACTGAAACGAAGTAATACTCTTAGATCCTTTAACACAAAGTAATACCACAGACGAGGTATACGAGTAGTCCACCTTATGAACTTTCTGTGCAGCGTCAAACAAATTTATTAAAAATTAAAAACGAATTTTTAAGGAAAATCGACAGGGAACAGGTGTTGAGATTTTTCGGTGAAAAAAAAATTTTCAAATCGTTCTAAAAAAATTATTATTAGCTGTAGAGGTGAATTACAAACATTTTTGGTAAATAGACATACCCCCGAAATCCTACGCACTTTCGAGAAAAAAATTCAGTGGGTGGACAAATTTTTCGACGAAATTAAAAAATTTCGAATCATTGTAAAAAAATTATTTTCAGTTGCGGGGGTCAGTTACAAACATTTTTGGTGAAATCGCATACCCCCGAAATCCTACGCACTTTCGAGAAAAAAATTCAGTGGGTGGACAAATTTTTCGACGAAATTAAAAAATTTCGAATCATTGTAAAAAAATTATATTCAGTTGCGGGGGTCAGTTACGAACATTTTTGGTGAATACGCATACCCCCGAAATCCCACGCACTTTCGAGAAAAAAATTCCTTACCGAAAATCTAATGCTTCCTCGAAATTTCATGAAAAATTACATTGGATGTAAGGTCTACTTGTATACCTCGTATACGGTAATACCTACGATGTTCAAAAACTTCCTTTCTTTTCGAATTAACCCAATAATTCCACACAACGACATCAGAGACCCGACGAGACCAACAAACAGTATAGTTATCAGGAAGAAACGGTGGCCCATCAATCTTGACATTATTTTATCGTCAGTAAGGGTCCATATCGATGTTACAACACCGACGATGCCTGCAAGCTTCGTTTATTTAAAATAAAGTTAAAGGACGAAGAGTAAACTAATTACAGCGTTGGATTCGTACTCATATATTCTATAATTTTAACGTTTCTTTAGTAACTCACGAACGTTGCCGCGTTGATCGTTAAAAAAACGGGTTTGATGCATCGTTGCGACAGGCGATCGTACGGGGAATTGTGGAAACGTATTCCAAGAAAGCGTGACCTTTTGTCGGTAGACACCGTCCCATTGCTATCGGTGACATCCTCGTCTTCCGTTTCCGTTTCATCTTCGTGTCTGTCGTCCTCGTGATTTGTTCCCCCGGTAAAGAACTTGTTCCAGTTCATGTATATTTATACGATCTGTCTGAATTTGGCCAAGAAAATAATTGACTGGAAGTATGCGAGGTCGGATTTTAGTTGTTCAAAATCGAGAAGGCAAATGTGAGCCTTTCTCTCTCGACTCCCACGAGGCGGTCCGAAATTACTTCGGGCATCTTCGGAGAATCGAGAAAGAGGGCACGTGTCAGTTTGCCTTTGTCAACTTTCCGAAACTCCACGAGTTCACGTACGCGTGATCCGGCATGTGTGAGCAGGGCGCCTCTGATATTTACTATACTTTGTATTTGACAACCAATCACATCGTCTTACAGTCACATGACTACTTCCGCCCTCTCCGGCCCGTGAACGGAGCAAAGTACACGTTTTTGGAGTAGCGATTATGTCGGTTCAGCGTTCACGCGTGTGCATATATTTCATATAATTTGTACTCGATTCGATAGCAGTTTATACACATACTATACGTATTTTTTACACATAAATAAACCTGTAATAACTTTTAATTAATAAAATTTACAATGGCGAAAAACCACGCTGCCGTAGAAATTACTTCCGAACGGTATATATCGAGTGATCTACATAATTTTGAGTAGATTCTCTAGTAGATATAGTGCGAGTACATAATTTTTGTTTCCGTAGCAATGTTAACAATAAAAGCAAGTCGTATATCAATTGGGATGAATATTTTATGGCAATAGCCTTTTTATCTGCAAAACGCAGTAAGGATCCTTGTACGAAAGTGGGTGCATGCATAGTGAACAATGAAAAAAAAATTGTTGGTATTGGCTATAATGGAATGCCTACTGGTTGCGACGATGACGAATTTCCTTGGACAAAGGACAGTTCTAATCCCTTAGAAACGAAGTATTTTTATGGTAAGTTTAAAGCAAGTAAAATTATACAGACATTTTAAGGAAACAGGCGAAAGTATAATACCAAGAAAATTGGAGTTACACTCTGACATTTAAGTTGTAGAGTACGATGTAATTATATTTTTATAAATAACAATATTAAATTTGCAGTATGTCACGCAGAAATGAATGCTATTTTGAATAAGAATTCCAGTGATGTTAAAAACTGCACTATATATGTCGCCCTTTTTCCATGTAACGAATGTGCCAAAGTAATAATACAATCTGGTATAAAGACAGTTATGTACATGTCAGACAAATATGCACATAAAGTTGAAATTATAGCTGCAAAGAAAATGTTTGATGCAGCTGGTGTTGAATATAGGTACTTAAATTTAATTGTATCTTTTAGTATTAAATCTACTGATAGTTCGATGATCGAGTGTTTTTAAATTCAACAACATAAATGTCTGAAATTCCGTAATGCTTGCCCGTAGACAATACATTCCGAAAAACCAAAAAATTGTGATCGATTTCACCGATATTAATTGGAACGAAATGACTCAATAGCCATCCACACCGATAAAAAAATAATATACGAACGTGGTTGTAATAAAAAATAACGTAAGTAGTAACAATGGTAATGTTCGTAGTAAAAAAAAGTATGCTCGTCGTACATATACTCATGATTTATTTCATTTTTACTCTTGACATTTTTGTAGGTTGAAACTTTCAAGTATTATTAATCGTTCGGTAACACATGAGAAATACGGTTCATGTTATTGTGGGATACTCGCGTGCTCGAAGGACCAGTTACTATTATTTACATATAAAATTTAGTCGGGGAGTAGGTACAAATGGAAATGAAAAATACCTCGTCGTATTTGAAATTTTTACAGATCCAGTTATCATCACCTTTAATATTAATGACACGAGGTTATAGAAAATAAATAAAATAATGTACAGAAGGCGAAAGAGTTTAGTAATAATACAAAGATACTACGAAGTATTTAATATTGTCCGCAACTGTGTTGCAAACTATTTACTGTACAAGTGTAAACACTGATACAATAAAGTATGGCATAATAGAAATATGTAACAGTATTTATCATTTTTTTTTTTTTTCGGAACGACTGAAGGAAGGGCGATTGTTGATACGTGATATAATATTTTCTTGTTGACTCGTTATTAATATAACAACAAAGAGAAATTGAACATAGTTTTGATATATATGATAATAATAATAATAATAATAATTAATTAATAATAATAATAATACATTTATGTACATACTATACATATTCCAGTTTTTGTCTTTAAAATAGTACTTCACTTACGTTCGTAGTCACAACTCTAATGAGGAAAGTTACATAAAGAAAGTAATTATATATGGTGATTGAATTCATCATATAGAAAAGTAAGTTGTTGCAACGAAGGTGCATGTGCAGTTCACGTGTATAAATATCAACACTTACAAAAAGCTTATACGGTACTATGAACGCATGGTTTGAATATATGAATGGAGTTATCTATTGTTACTATCCGTGCGGCTAAAACTATAATAAAAGATTTCTTGTATTAGTAGAAGTTTCCGAAAATATGATGAACAGCTTATTGCAAATGGCAGTAATATACTAATACAATGATTAAAGAAATAAATAATCACATTTCGCGTTCGATAAATATTAATTTGTTCGTTTTGTTTAAGTCTCTTTAATTGGAACAAGAAATTATCTTAGGAGTTAATCGTATACGTTAAAAAACTTGATACGAGCCCTATATGATGAATTCATTTACATGAGGAGATGGAAGAGGATCTGGGTGGCAACCGTGCTTAGTTTTTTTATTTATCAGATCGAATCAAGGATCTTAAAGGCGAATCTGAACTAAACCTTTCAAAGATCGATATACCATCCGTAATCAGCATTGTTTATTTTTCAAAGTTTTTGATAATTATTTACGAGAGAGATAGAAATTTTTTATATTGAGGTAATAACCTCCGATAAAGATTGGAGCAACTAATATGTACATCTTTTTCCAAACGTAATAGCTTTGCCAAAGTTCTAAGCGTATTGTAAAAAATATATCAAAAGAAAAATAAAACATCAACGCTTCGGTAGATGCATGGTCGGAACTTGGTGTAATGTGAATGGACATATTTATGTGTATTAATTTCGAATGAAAGCTGGCCACAAGAAGACACTTGGTTTGTCGACAAGTTGAGTATGATGATCATAATATATTTCATTTGCGTGGTATAACAGTTAAATGATCGATGGCAAAGTGAATGAGTAAATCATCTACATTATCGCTTATGTTACGATATTTACTCGCATAGCCCTGAGAAACATTCCATGCATTTACAGAAGGTGTTTGTTCGAGAATTGTTTGCATTTATCGTATTTTCATAGAAGATTATTCCATCGATTAATTTTTGTCCCGTATTGCATTACTTGACGAGCGAATCGAAATGTTTAATATACATTACCATGAACACCACTTGATGCAATTACCATATTTTTATGATTACCATTAAGTTGACTTTGAGTAAGTTTTAACATTGGCGTAAGATTAATTAATCGCAAAAATTATACTCTATGACTTAAATAAGATAGGAAATGTGTACATATATATGAATGTATATATATATATATATATATATATATTGTTAAAGTAATAGCTGAAGTATGTACAAATATTATCACTAATTTGTAGTATCTGCATCTTATGGAATTTTCTCGTTTGTTTAAGGAAATTCACAACTTATAAGTATGCGTCGGTATTTCAAAAATAAATGAGGTAATCATAACATCGGTTCGACTTATATACCGGTAAACTTCAACATTACCTTTTATTAAAATTTCCGTAATCCGTTGACATACAGATGCATGATATCATTTTCATTTTCTTTTTTTTTTCGTTTTCCTATCGACACTTATTGTTTTTCGATTTATGATATACTTTGGTAATTTGCGTATACAATACGCACTTTATTGTTCCTATAGTAACTTTCACAAGAGACTTTCGCGAAATGGACACTACTTACGTATTGACCGCTCTCGATGGAATATCAGGGCTCCAATCCAAACGTAGATCATTACCCTGGACTTAAACACAGGAATAAAATATGCGTGTGGGGTGTGTGTTTGTGTGTATCTAGAGGGGAAAAACGAATTAGACTGTTACGTTCACTTTTTAGTTTAAACAGTTTTGCGAATTAAGTGAACTATTAGTATTACGACTTGGAACAAAGTCTATTCAAAATGTAGCAACGAACATGCGTGGTACAATAATCGTGGTGCTCGATGATCGTCTAGTTTCCAGACTCTACACAGTAGAGTATTTATGTAGACAACGCTGTAAATAGTACACCTTAACATCGAGTAGAAATATTCATAGAACGCGCGCGTATGAATGTATACAAGTCTTGTATTTTGTACCAATGTGTTAGTTTCGCACGTCATTATATTTTACACACTGCACCCCCACCCTACCCCACCCCGTCCCCCCCCCCTTTTTTCACCACCTACACCCCTTCCCATCCCGTCCATCTTCACTAAACATTTCACACTTTCTCGACCATTTTTTCCTAGCGTCGATAGAGCACGTTTAATTCGTTCTGTTTCAATTGTTAATTAATATTTAGCTACTTAGCCATCCTTATCCTTCGTTCACCTAAAATTCGGGACCGCGTCGGTGGCGCGTGGTTCGCGGCCACATCGTGTTGTATAATTTATTAAGATTGTTTATGCCAGCACTGTCCCAGCACTGTTCACACTACATGAAACCCTCCAGGAACGGTTCGTGTATAATACATGCTTATATCGTTTAATTAAATCCGCCAAATTTCAGTGACTTCTTTCACTATGTCCTTTCCTCGATATCTCGTATTCGTTCTTTAAAGTAACGAGACCTTTTTATGCTTTCGTTTCCCTTGTTTGTCGTTTTCAACGTAGTCCAGAACGCTCCTCCGCACTCCCCTCCTTTTCACCCCATTGCCTCGTCTAACTACAAAGAGATTCAGCGACGCTGACGAGCGCGTGCCTGGATCAGTTCTTGATGAAATTCTCTTTCTCTTGGTGATTGGCCGTCACCTTTGTTTCCGGCGGTCGGAACGCGGTCGCGTACGGAAAACGTTTATGGCATCGCACCACGAAATCGTCGAGCAACGAGGGCAAGAATGGTCCCAGTTCGCCGTTGCGTAACGATTCCAGCACTTTCGTGCAATCCTGCAACGTTACCGATTCGAGATCAAAGTTTAACACGAGGAACAGAGCTTTTGCATGCTCGGCTGGATCGATCACGTACATCATCTTCGCGGCCTGAAGGAGATGCGGCAATGAATTTCGATTCGCCTTCAGGAATTCTCTGTTCAATTGCATCGGCGTTAAACTCCTGTATATACCGGCGGTTTGCCGTTTCACGACTTCGCGTACCGCTCCTACCAACGGCGAGCGAGAAATGTGCAACATAAAGCGTACCAGACACGAGTGAAGGTCTGGATTGTTCGGGTCCAGCCCATGTGCGCGTTTTATCGACTTTAACATCAGCAACTTGCGACCTGCAACAAAGAATTTCTATTTTTAATACCCTCCAAGACAGGTTCAATTCTTTGTTACAGCGCTGTCCACCCCTATTACTTTCTGTTTCATCTACAAACCTACCCTACGATTATAACTGTTTAGATTTTCGGTCATTATGGCTCTTTTGATAAGATTTCAGGTTGAAAATTTCTATATACCTTTGCGAATGTAGATCTCGAACGCCATAAGATGTGTCTCTATTCTATTCGCTGCCAATTTCTGCAGCGGTTGTAAAAACTTGATCGCCTGTTCCAGGGGGTCCTCGACCTGGAAAACCAATCGGTGTCGAATTGTTTCAGGATCGATTCATAGATCTCTATCAGCTATCGTGTAAACTAGATCGTGTGTACGCGTATACTGACCCTTTCCAATTTCTCCGGTATAAGTTCATCTAGCGTGGGTTGCTCTAAATCGGGATCGGCCTGTTGCCGCGATTTATTGTGTTGTTCCCTCTTTTCTTGAGCTTGAGCAGCCAGTTGTCGTTCCAGTTCAGCCTTTCTGCGTTGCTTCCTCTGCTTGTTTCTCAATTTCTTCAGTTCGGACGGCGCCAAGTTCTCTGCAACCAAAAAGATGAAACAAAGATGAAACAATTATGCAAATTTTATAACTTAATAATAACACGTTGTTGATATATTACCTTACCTCTGATTACTCAAAATTGGTACCTGATGCAAAGTCATATTTATGTATAAGCATTTCGACTCGAATAATTTAGTAAGGAGAAGAACGGTAGCGACTGGTAACGTCAATTTTGTTGAATTACCTAAATCGTTCCTAATAGCAGAAAATGTACGTCGTTCTGAGATTCCAGGCTCCGCGGTATCATTCTAAACGCTATAACTGTCCCCCGGTGACTCTTTCGACATACGAGACTTTTACCTGGCGCTCTGCGTCGACCAAGGTCAAACAATGCACCACCGACCGGTGGCAAAAGCAATTCCGCCGGTTTCGCAAATCCTTTTCTAACTTTTCCTCGCCTCTGGTCGCGGCCAGACCCACCGACAGCTGTTACAGTGGGCCTGGCATGCGTGCACGTGTCACGCGTGCACCTTGGTCACGTGCAGCCTCGACTCTACCGTGAGACAGTGACAGGAGCAAAAAGTGTAACTCGCGCCGGTTTCGATCGCGATCTATCGATCCTAATCGCACGGGTGAAAAAGTCTAGCACGTTTTCTCGCTTTCGGTGATCGAATTTTTAACCAAAAACGCTTTAAACTATCAGGGGAAAGGATTCTGCTACCCTAAAATTAAAATACCTTTCGAGCTAATAACCTCTTTTTTTTTTCTTGTAAAAATACAATAACCGATACTACTTTCTAAGACGGGGAAAAACTGGGACGATTAGCGTATTACGACCTCTGTTTAAAAGAAAAACGTGTAATTAGTTTGCAACATCTTAAACAAACTTAAACGCGTAATGGTGTAACGTAGAAAACGCGCAACCGGCACTTAAACAATTATGTATTTAGGCGAATGCTTGTTTAAATGATCGTAAATACGAATGAATAATATGAAATACGTATTGAAATGTGTGTGTTTCTTATTTAACGACTCTCATTCATCACGCGAAAATAATAAGACAAAATGGACGTGAAAGAACTGCAACAGGCACGGGTGAAAGGACGAGATTTGACGAATAAAACTGTTTTAGAATCCAAGTAACGAAACTGAGTTTAACATTACTGTTTAATTATCATTATTGATGAAGTAAATCTTCAATAAAGACGAGACTTAATATTTTGCCTTATTTTTAGAGGAAGATTCGCGAGTAACGAGATCGATCGCCAAGATTGTTCGACGATTCATCGTCGAGATTGTTCGAATTTATTGCGCTAATTCCTCGACACTTAACTTGTTCAGTGAGCATCAACGTTTTAATTGCCGCCCCATTAATGCAGTTTTATAACACGAAAATCACGCGCGCTTTCCAATTATGTAAGAAACAGTCAATGCGTTATTAGAACGCGGTAGAGACTGGTTCCATGCTCCGTAAAATTCGTGAATGGCGTGGAAATTACCGCGATACCTATGCCCCATTCCTCGGACGATTTCTTTTTTCTATAAACTGACAATCGTGCTCGATTTCTATGCACAACGCTTAATATGTTATAACATAATTATTCTTGGTTACGCAATTTAAATCCTATATAAACACGGCAGAAATTATAAGAAAAAATTCAACGTAACTTTTGGCACAGCCTACGCACGATATCTCATTCGGTCGAACCGATCGAAACGAATTAATCCACGCGTATGTTACCCGCCAACATGTAACCGTACCATTAATTAAACCTCAAGAAGAAAAAAAACACCATTATACGGGAACAACAATGAACCGAGCTCTAAAGTAATTGTGCTCGGAGAAAATGGGCCGAACGACTATTTCCCACACAATGGGTCCCGCCACGATAAAGTCTGACCAAGTGGACAGGTATCGTGTAACACGTCTCTGCATCAGTCCGCGCCATTATTCTCGTACAGCAAACGATACCTAGCGATGGGTTCGAAACCGATACACGCTAGAACGTGATTAAAATTTGGACAATCGCGGACAGTTTGCAATTCATGACACAGGATCGTAGATAGAAAAGCGAAAGACCTCATCACCGTGATTCATTGGCCATAATAGTGTTACAGATGCTAATTTATTTTTGATTTTGAATCATTGATTGATTCTGTATCATTCCCATCGCTGCGTCTATTCGAATGACTGTCGCACTTCTCCGCAGAGAGGAGGGAGTAATTCGATAAATGTAGCTCGTTAAAGGTTTTCCCATTGATAGACCGCGGCGGTTTTAATTGGTCGCCCGCTCGCAGTTTCTCCACCTCGGGAAAATATTGTTGCCAATTAGGGGCCGGTATGCGACTACCGGCGAAGAATTTTTCATCCTTGACAAAGGGGGACCTTGTGCGTATTACGAGCGTGCTCGGGAATGTGGAGCAACAGGCGGCGGGCACGCAACATTTATGCAAATTGCATCCCCCGACGACGGCCGATTATGCACGTTGACCCGACGTTAACACGTTCACCTGGCATTTTTTTCGTGGCACATTTGGCCCAAAAATCAGGCTCTGACCCCGTGGAAGACTTACTGAAGCAACCTCGGACGGAAAGGTCCCGGAGCTAACGTTTCGATCAACTTGTGGACGTTAAGAACGCTAGCGAAGGATTTAAGGATCGATCGCTCGCATGCAAATCGAAGGAATACCGGGAGAAATCGCGGAGAATTCGCACGCGAATGCACTTGCACTTTCTACAGTTGCCGGAATTGTGTGAAATTCGAGGGGCCGAATAGAAATCCATCGATCATCGACGAACTCAAAACCATCTGCATTGGAATGCAACGAGGGATCCGCGAGTTTCGTAACGGAGGAACGTCCGTCGATTAAATTTTCGAAGGTGTTATCCTTCTCGTCTTGATTCTCCGAAGGATCTGTTAGTTTTCATTGCACGATTGCGCATTAACGACATGTTTTCTCAAAACCCACGCACCTACGTAAACTTCTCACGGATTGAGTCATTTGCAATTAATGGCTCAGGCCTATTCGAAGTCGACGAAATCATTTGCTACGCCCAGTTTCCGTTGCCAATGCATACAAACGTCGATCGATGTAGCATTGTGTGCCTAAGTAATGAGTTGTGCTGGCGTGGTCTACGAGGAACTTGCAAAGAATATCCTTGAGTGATTTTTAAGAAATCGAACGATTATTTTTTGCTCCAGATACGCAAACGTTGATAGAATTATTAAAGAAATCCTGACTAAAGTGATTCGACAGCCGAAGGAACACTGTGTAATCGTCTTCAGAAGCTCAGAAACAAGGACAGCGATGGAATCTGGCACTCCGATGAGTTATGATCGCATTCCCTTTGTTCTCTTCTTTAGGTAGCATAAACGGACCGACCAGTCAGCGCTTTAAAAATAAGATTCCCGAGGCGAGGTTACGCTTTGCATAAAATGCACCGTTTATCCGGCGCGTACCACGAATTCAGATCCACCGGGTGAAATAATTGCGGTTAGGTAAGAAGCTGCGAAGTAGTGAAAATTACGGGGGCGGCAAGGTCGGTGGATGTAAAGAAGCCATTAGACGAGAAAACAGACGGATGGAGCAGCTAAGAAATGAAAATGCAGAAACGATGCTTTCATTTGCAAAAATTTAATTTGCATCGAATGGAAACGGTAGCCCACAGATTGGGAATTTCGTACGAGCATTCGTGACGGTAGCTATTAACATTTGTATTCTTTCATTAATTCTCGATCGTGCCGATGACTGTTCGTTTCGACGCCTGTTGCATACGTCAATGCAATACTTAGGAATCGATCAGTGCTAAACGATCGTATCATTGATCCCGTCATTAGCACGAAGGAAAACAGCTGGCATTTCGATTTGACGAAGCGGAGCTGTTGCACACGCGTGGCCACGATGATCTTCAAAACATTTTCTTTTTCTGCGTTCCCCCGCGTCGTAAGATCGATGAATCATCCGCGAGATAGTAACGATTCCGGGATCGTAAATCGATATTACATTCTCCGTCTGGGAAATCACGCGTCGATCGATGGTAAATTGATGTTCGAACGGTAATTATCGAGTAACTTCAGTGACGATGCCATTAGATGACGGAATAACAAACAACGTGGCAATAAATAATCAATTTTCCGCAATAGAAAGACTGGCTGATTCGTTCAATTTCTTGCGCCCTTGCGCGTGCACGTCGACGACATGACGCAACGATGTTTTCCTTTTCTTCGGCTTGTTGAGCACGATAATTGGCAAAATAATACACTGGGTGGTCCATTTCTTTTGATCGTATCGAGCGTCGAAAACTATGAATGCATTATCGAACCACTCTGTACAACGAATGTCTACGTTCCACTTTCACGATCGGAAACATGTTGATCTCACCCCTATCATTGCATAACGAACATTTTGCCCTAACAATAAGAGGGTTAACGTTAGCGCAGAATATTTTTAAAATATTTTTATTGCGTAAAAAAAGTTCAATTTTAAGTTACGCAAAAAACTTGCACAGTTACATCGACGTGCAATGATTAAGCGACTCTGGTTGCGTCCTCAAGTTCGGTCGCTGCAACAAGCGGAAGTTCAAGAACGCGCGTACGGTCAACAAACGGAACGCGGCATTTGCGGTAGTTATCACTTAATAAACGTTGGTTTAGAAATGTGCTATATTTTCTGAAACGCCCTAATAATAACGAAATAGATCGTTCATCGATAGCGACGAAATATCGGACAGCGAAATCTAACAATGAAACTGTTCGAGTTATGGATTATTGTTCCACAGGAATTCTAACGTTCTATCGTTACTTCCTGTATTTTCAATAATGTTAACACTTGGAGATTTAACGATAAAGACACGGTACATTGCATGTTACAAGACAATACAGCAGCTACGGATTACACAAAACTAATATAAGAGAAAGGAACGATGCTCAACAATAAACTTGTTCGAATTACGCAACGATGTGCTAGCTGTACCTCCAATTAAAAAATTATCGAATAACTCCATTGGCGATTAAACATATCTCGACAAGAAAGAAT